TACATCAATTGGATGTCAACAATGCCTTTTTGTATAGTGATATTGACAAGGAACTCTGCATGGATTGTCCTCATGGTCTGTCTTTTTCCTCCAATCAGGTTTTCTGATTACGAAAGTCCATATATAAACTCAAGCAAGTGCCTAGACAATGGTACAAAACTTTAACCGATTTTGTTTGTACTCTTGGCTTTACTCGAACTCCCTATGATCATTGTCTTTTTGTAAAGTTCACCAATGTTGGTACCATAGTTTTGATTGTTTATGTGGATGATATCCTTCTAACAGGCAATGATTTGGGTTTCATTCTCAGTACTAAAAAGGCTTTACATGACAAGTTCACCATTAAAGATCTTTGGGTGACATCCTTTTACCTTGGACTGGAGCTTCAAATGTCTTCCTCGAGCTGTTTGGTAACTCAATCTAAATTCATCCAAGATCTTATGGATGACTTGTCCATTCCTTCCAATGAGAACGCCCATACTCCATTGCCTCATACTACAAAGTTAAAGAAAAAAAGGGTTATATTGGGCAGCCTAAGTTGTTTAGGAGAATTGTTAGTGAACTATTATATCTTTGATTTTCCAGACCTGATATTTGCTTTGGTGTTGAGCAACTAAGTCAGTTCATGCATTGTCCTACTGGATATCATTGGAGAGGAGTTCTCTATTTACTGCAATATCTTCAAAAAAATTCTCATTTGGGATTGTTCTTCCCTTCAAACAGCCCTATGCATCTTACTGGGTTTTGTGATGCAGATCGGGGAAATTGTCCAGATACCAAAAGATCTCTGAGTGGTTACTACATGTTTTTAGGTGGTGCTTTGATCTCTTGGAAAATAAAGAAATAATATGTAGTGTCCAAGTCCTCCACTAAAACAAAATATCGGAGCTTAGCCTCTGCAGCCTCTGAACTTGCTTGGATTACTTATGTTCAGGAAGCTTTGAAGATTTTTTTCCTACTCTTATACCATTATATTGTGATAATGAGCCTGCTATCAAGCTTGTCAATCCAGTTCATCATGACATGACAAAACACATTAATATTACTTGTCACTTTTTTAGAGATTTTTATCAAAAGCATCTTTTGGATCCTCTCTCCATTAGCTCTGACTCTTAAGTTGCTGATATATTCACAAAGAATTTGTCATCTTCTCTGTTCCATCGTCATTGTTCCAAGCTCAACCTTTGTGGCTTTTTCAGCTTAGCTTATGGGGGATGTTGAAGCAACATCAGTACAAAGTGGACTTGAATAATATATTGGTTAAAATGTGTTTTTTATATTTATAAAGTGTTTTCCGCTTCTTCCTTTATTTATATTCTGTTCAATTCCTTTCCAGTATGAATAATTTTTTTTTTTCATTTCTCTTCGTCTTCGATTTAACCTTCTACAAACGATGAGTTATTTTTGTAATTTCATATCCTATTCAATATGATTTTGTGATACCACTTGCAGGTTAGGCGTGCGTTTTACAATTTCCGAAATATTAATGGAGAGTGTATTTTTTGCAATATTTTAAAAATTACGAGTATGTTTCATGAAATTTTTGGACCATAGAGACTTTTAGCATTTCAGCAAATCACATGAGATTTTATGTTATTTTGTTTGTTTAAAATAATAATAACACTATTTAATATAAAGAATAATACTCCATCTGTTCCCGCAACAAAGAACACAATTTGTTTTTTACACGTAGATTTTTTAATATTAGTATTATATTGATTTTTAGTAAAAAAGACAAAAATACCCCTATTAATATTGTATAATATAAAAGTAATGATGTTTGTGCAATATATTTTAAGTTGATAGAGTATTTATTATATTAGGTAGGTAGTACAATTATTAAATTAGGAAATTATACAAGTGTTTTGAGACGAACAAAAATATAATATAATATCCTTCTTATGGGACAAAGGGAATGAAATAATATCATAATTTATTAATCTATACTACATAAATAACAATTTTGTCTTTTTAAAATAATAACAACGCTACTCAATATAAAAAATAATAAAATAATACCATAATTTATTATTAATAATTTATTAATCTATACTATATAACTAACCATGCCCGAAACAAATAAGTCATCTATTTTGGAACTTAGAAGTATAAAAAAATAAATTTCTAATATATATGTATATTTTAATTATGTTAATTAGTAATTAATTTATTATACAACTTTCAATGAATTTAATCTATGTTATTTATTTCTAATATAAAATGTATATAATAAAAAATATATAAATAAGTAAATAATATTTATATATGCTTTTAAGTCAATATTTTAATATATTTTACAAATAAAACAAAAAATACTTTTTCGTCGCAAAGTAATAGTTCATTTTTTTTCATTTTCGTCCGTCGTAGTTTTATTTTTATAAATAATCATATTATCGTAATATTATTTTTATTTTTATTTTTTATTATTATTATACAAATATTATTACTTTTTACACAAATACACTCTTAAAGATATTTTAGTATTTTATTATTTACATTATACGCCGTTTTAATACTATTATTTTCTAAATATCATTTTAAACCCAAATATCACTATTGTTTCATGATGGAGAGAGTATATAAGATAATAAATTATTTTAACTACTTGTAATTTAAAATTAAAATCTTAATTTACAAAAAAATACAAAAATATTAAATAATAAATAAAAATATATTAACATGTATAAGGAAAATAATTACAGGCCTTATCATACATATAATATCATATATATATATATATATTTTATTTTAATTCATGTTACTTTTAAAAAAGTAATTAGATATTGTTGATTGATTTTTTCAACAATAGAAAGTAAAATTCGAAAATAGAAATTATGTTTGAATTTGATAAAATAAATATCTGAGATTAAAAATTTATAGACACCGTACGATACATAAATAAAATAGAAAAAATAACTACTACAGACTGTAAAAGTAAATGGTGATCCCCTAAAGAAATTCTAGGGAATTTGATGTCGATTGAAAATGTCTTTGTCAGTTGCGAACCCCCTCTTTAAATATTTCCTAAAGAAACGTTTTGGAACCGTCGTCTATTCGATTACAGCAACAGCCGTCAACCGCCCACTAAATCCTCCTCCATTGACACGTGTCTTTAACCGTCTCGCCAACCGCTCCTGCCAATTACAGGACTTAACCGGCTCGACCGACCGACCAATCCAGATGCTAACTGGTCGCTAGACACCAATCAGGCGGACGTACTCCAGCTTGGTAGTTTCCACCTCCTGTCCACCACCATTTGGTCCCTTCAATCGGCTGAACAACCATTCGTTAAGACGATTCATTGGTCGTCCAATCAAGCGACCAACTGACCGCCCTTTCAAGCGATTGAACTACTTTCTGGCCAAGTGACCGACCAATCGATCAGGCGATTAACAGGTTGCCTAATTAAACGACCAATTAATAGACCTTTCCTTTTGTCCGACCTCTGTGTCTGTCATCTCATCTTTCTTCGCCCGACCTCCTTTTGACCGACCTCTGTATCGGCCGTCTCATCCTTCCTCGCCCGACTTCCTTTTTTGACCGACCTCCGTATCGGCCGTCTCATCTTTCTTCGCTGGACTTCCTTTTTCGACCGACCTCCGTATCGGTTGCCCGACTTCCTCTTTCGACCGACCTCCGTATCGGCCGTCTCATCCTTCTTCGCCTAACTTCCTCTTTTGACCGACTTCCGTATCGGCCGTCTCATTACGGAGGTCGGTCGAAAGAGGAAGTCGGGCGAAAAATGATGAGACAGCCGATATGGAGGTCGGTCGAAAGAGGAAGTCGGGTGAAGCAGGATGAGACGGCCGATACGGAGGTCGGTCGAAAGAGGAAGTCGGGCGAAGAAAGATGAGACGGCCGATACGGAGGTAAGGATGTCGGACGAAGAAAGATGAGATGTCAGACACGGAGGTCGGACAAAAGGAAAGGTCTATTAATTGGTCGTTTAATTAGGCGACCTGTTAATCGCGTGATCGATTGACCGGTCACTTGGGCAGACAGTAGTTTAGTAGTTTGAAAGGGCGGCCAGTTGGTCGCTTGATTGGACGACCAATGAATCGTCTGGACAAATAGTTGTTCAGCCGGGACCAGATGGTAGTCGCTTGATTGGGCGACCAATGAGTCTTTTGGTCTAGTGACCAGTTAGTATCTGGATTGGTCAGTCGGTCGAGCCGGTTAAGTCCTGTAATTGGCGGGAGCTGTTGGCGAGACGGTTAAAGACACTTGTCAATGGAAGAGGATTTAGTGAGCGGTTGACGGCGGTTGCTGTAATCGAACAGACGACAGTTTTAAAACGTTTCTTTAGGGAATATTTAAAGAGGGGGTTCGCAACTGGCAAAGACATCTTCCATCGACATCAAACTCACTGGAATTTCTTTTGGGGATCACCCTTTACTTTTACTGTCTGTAGTAGTTATTTTTCCTATTTTATTTATGTATCGTACGCTGTTTAGAGATTCTTAATCTCAAACATTTATTTTATCAAATTCGAAGATAATTTCTATTTTCGGATTTTACTTTTTATTATTGAAAAAATCAATCAACAGATATAAATTTTATAATTTATATTTTTTTAAATATTAATTAAATTAATCAGTTATTTTAATTTTAATTTATAATTTATTTATATCATATGAAAATTAATTTTATTAATATATTTTTATTTATTTATTAATCATATTCTTTTAAATTCTCATATCAAATCATTATGACTTGATATTTTGAATATAAAATTGATTTTTAGTATAATATAAAAATAAAAAATAAATATTTGATTTGATGTATTTAAAAAAAAAATTGGATAAATAATGAATTTTGGGCAAACCTCCCTAGCAAACGCAGCCTAAATAAATTAAAAGTGGTTCAAAAACTAATTTCCATACGACCTCAATGTCGCATTGTTCTCACAGCGATTTTAAGAAAGCGTGTTTGTTGTGTGACAACGACTTTTTACTATTTCTGCTTCCTTCTTTGCTCTTTGCCCTAAAGTCGTTCTGACATTTCATTGCATCGCTTCTGTGCTGTGAGCACTATGGAATCCTGGGGCTTCGGGACGTTTTTTATCTGTAGTTGAATTCGTCACAGACAACGTAAGATTGATGTAGAACGGCGCAGGCATGGCATCAACAAAGATCAGGAACACTTTGGGTTTGAATCCATGCTTCCACTTGGCAAAACCGAATGCCCTACTTTTCAACCGCTTCACTTCAATCGGGGATTTTGTTTCCTGTTTTAATTCAGCAGAAAATTCAGAAACGGTTGACTCCCAGATTACTTCATTGTGTAGGAAATCCAATTCTCCCGTCCAAGCTAAGAAGGTTTTCGATCTGTTCAAGCGATCTTTGGATTCGGGCGCTGTCCTGTCGGAGTCTACTTGCAATGTTCTCATGCAATGTCTCACGAAGCATAAGGAGTACAAAATGGCTTTTGGGGTTTACGAAGAAATGACTAGCGCTGGTAAGAAGCCGACGTATATCTCGTTGTCTGGTTTGGTTGACTGTTTGGTGTATTTCTGTGCGTGTCAATCTGCTTTGGGAGCAGTTGGTTTGATGTATAAGCGGGGGTTTGAAATCGGTGTCTATGTCGCTAATATCATATTGAATGGTTTTTGCTGCAATGGCTTAGCTGTTAGGGCTGAGGAATTCTTAGGTGAAATGGAGAGGAATTCGATTAATCCGGACAAAGTTAGTTTTAATACTTTGTTGAAGGGACTTTGCGAGGAGAGGAAACTGAATGAAGCCATGAGTGTGAAGAGTAGGATGGAATGTGCAGAGATTGCTCCCGATTTAATCACATATAATATTCTGATCCATTGCTGTTTTCATGAAGGTCAGGTGAAGGAAGCAATGCTGCTGTTGGAAGAGATGTCGACGAGAGGGTTGGAGGCAGATGGTAGGTTTTACAGCACACTTATGAATGGATATTGTAATCAAGGGGATGTTGATGAAGCAAAGAAACTTTTCCATGAGATGCTGAATAAAGGGATTTCTTCAGATCTGAAGGTGTATTCGTGTTTGATGCGAGGTCTCTGTCAGAAGGGGAAACTGAAAGAGGCCAAGAAGATGTTCAATAATATGTTGAAGGATGGTATTCGGCCTGATGCTGTGTTGTTTAATGGGATGATTGACGGGCTTTTTAAAGCAGGGATGGCCAACAAAGCGGTGGAATTGTTTGCTTTCATGCTGGAAAAGGGCGAAGAACCCTCCAATAAAACGTATAATGTTCTTATTGAAGGGCTATGCCAGGCAGAATTGCTTGATGATGCTACTAAAATTCTGGAAATGATGTTGAAGAAAGGTGAGAAACCTAATGTTTTTACTTGCAATGCTTTATTGAAAGGGCTGTTCAACCATGGTAAAATTGGTTTTGCTATGGGAGTTTTCGAGTTTATGAAGTCGGATGAGTGCATTGAGCCTGATTCGTGTACGGTTAATATATTACTCAACGGTCTGTGCAGCAACGGCCATCTTAGAAAGGCAGAAAAGATTATTCGTGACATGGATGAACACAATGCTGCAACTTACTCGATCCTAATTGGAGCTTATTTCAAGGTTGGAAAAGTGAGGAAAGCTCTGAAGTTGTGGAACAAGTTTCTAAACCAGGGGCTAATTCCAGACTCCAGGCTATATGGCTCAATGTTACATGGTTTATGCAGTAATAACTTAATCAGCTTTGCGAAAGGTATTTTTATGAAAATGCAATCAAGTGGTCCTCGACCAAGAACGTGCGACTACAACTTCTTGATGACAGCCTTATGCAAAGAGGGCAGCTTGGAGCAAGTACGAGCTTTATTTAGAGATATGTGTGGTGGCTGTTGCGAACCTGATGTTTTCTCGTACAACATCATGATTGAATCTACCATGAAATCCGGGGACTTTCAGTTAGGCAACAAATTACTGGTGGATATGCAGCGCAGAGGTTTGCCACCTGATATTGTGACCTTTGGATTACTTATTAGTTGGTTTTCAAAATTAGGAATGATGGAAGAAGCTAAAAGCATATTTGAAAGATTCAAATCTTTTTCCCTCCAACCAGATGCCTATATTTACAATGCTTTGCTTAAGGGATTTAAAGCTGAAGGAAATACGGTAGAAGTGATCAATTTGCTTCAGAAAATGGCAGCCGATAGTGTTCCCCTTGATGCTGCAGTTAATTCCACTATATTAGCATGTCTTTGTGATTTACCCGAAGGTGAAAAAGTTGCAGAGCTTTTACCGTATTTTTCCCAAGAGAAGTCAAACAGAAGGAGTACTACTTCTGATGAATTGTTGGTGAGACTCAAGAACATTGTTCCAATGCTTCAATCCTCTGTCCTTTAGTCAGTGTGGCTATAGCTATACAAAGGATGTCTTTAGCTGTACATCGTGGATCAGGGAGAGAGACAGTCGCTGTAATCGTCATCGTCTTGTCTCTAAAGCAGCATCATTTAGAAACCTCCTCGGTTCCTAAGGTAATCACCATGGCTCTTTTACCATTTTAGAATGATTAATATATTAGGCTTTGTTGTATAATGGTAGGCATTGTTTTGGTTAATAGAGAGATGCATGGAAATTTTGGTTTCTGTGTTTTGGTGCGATCATTACAACCCATCCCGAGCATTGTTAAATGCTAGAAAATGTTTGTGGTTGCATTAGTGCACTATTAGAAAGCCGAAACTGTCATACATGGTACCAAGATTCTGAAGAATATGCGTCTTTGCTGCATTGTAGTTATTATCAATATAAATACTGTACTTTTAATGAAGACCAGTTGTTCTTATAAATATGGTTTTATTTTTTGTTCCATGTGTTGGTAAAGCTGTGTTGTTGAAGCTAAACCCTTTCTGTCTTTTGTTGTATTTTAATGGAATTCGAATTTTGTCTTGAAGAATAAGTATGCATGTTGCTTTATATTTTCTGAAGAAAATGTAGGCACTAGTTAAAACCATAATTTTTACTACATAGTACTGCTACTATGATACGGAGTTACGGACATTCTTCTATTTATAAATTGCATGTTTTAAAACCGCAGTGTTGTTTACCATTTCATAAAAAACGGCTCACCATTAGGATGATCGAGCGTGTGATATATGAGCAGAAGAGTATGAGAAAGTTCTTGGGAAATAATGGAATACGGCATTCGTAGTTTATTAAAGTCACTTACGTTTTTCGTGGTACAGCAAATAGAAGTCACTTAGGATGATAATCTTTTGTAGTGCCTTTACAATGTATTGTAGCCACATTTATCTCGTACTTAGCTACGGTAGGCATGGCCGTCTTATGCCCATATGAATCGGGGCTTTCTGCTTTCACTTGTAGTGTATTTTCTGAGCCACTCTCCTACCCAACCTGTGGCTTTATCACATCAGTTCTCAAATCTCAACTGAAAACTATTGGGCTGTGACACTATATCGGACTCCTCCCTCAATTTCATCGGAACCTGTTGAGACTCTCATTTCTGCCACCAGACTGGCATTTCCCTGCCTCCCAACTATCTCAAACAGCAATATTCTGAAGCTGTAGGTGTCACATTTATAAGTTATGGGAAGTTCTTGAACCCTGCGAGTGTCACATGACTTTTGTGTCGATTACAGAGCTTCAACAGCCTGAAATCTGCAACCCTATGGCAGAAATTCTCATCAAGAACCACATTTCTCAGTTTAATGTCACACTGAATGTTTCTATGCTGACACTCTCGTGCAGGTAGGCGATGCTCCTTGCTGTACCAACTGCAATCTCGTGCAGTTTCTCCCAAGCTGCCGATCCTTTCTGAACTCAAGTGGCCCATTCTCCATGAACTCATAAATGAGGACAGTCATGAACGGATCGTAGCAGAAGCTGTAAAGCCTCACCAAATTGATGTAGTGTTTCCTGCCAATGGCTCTGACGTCACCCCTGATCCGGTGCTCAATTCTTCTGTTGGGATTGCTGTTCATTTTATTGGCGCATGCAATCATCAAGACAATGGTGATTAATGAGCAAAACTGCAGATTGAAGCTCCGAAAGTTAGATAAGAGGTTATTATAAACTTGCTCTATTCCATTATACATTTAATTTGGATGTGATAAAATCTAATTTGCCTTGGTTGATCGATGGCGACGAAATTAAGAGACATTGATGAAGATCCAGATCCAGGTGGTGAAATTGATACTGGAGAATTGAATTAAATTGATCGAGCCATCTGCAAACAAATGTAAGAATCGAGCAGAGAGGGCTTCAGAATCTGACTCAGATTTCAAGATTTACTTCCCTTTACCTAGCTTACTTATAATTTTTGTTTTTGTTATTTATTTTAATTTTTTTAATAACATTGTACGAATGCAGATTCTTTTACTAATGAAGTTAGAACATCCATGGATGGTAAGAATGTACAAGTCCCTATTCAATAATTTGTTAGTTGTGTGCTGCCTAGTGCTTAATTTACAGTATAACTAATTATTGTATTTATAGATGTTAAAGTAATTATTTATAAAATATTTTACCACACATTATCATTTATTATTTTTTTAAAAAAATATTCTTTTCAGAAACTAGTTTCCATAGTAAAATTTACCACTAAAAATACTCCCAAACTTCACAAGCTCATCCAAGCACAGGATACATTTTTAAAAAATATCAAGTAGTGATTTATTTTTCTTTTCTTTAGATACAATAATTTACCTAACTCAAAATACAAATTTCATTAGTTATTAAATTAAAATGTTGGTTACTTTCTACAACCAAGACGAGAATATCCAATCCTCAACTGAAAATATGGGAAACCAATCAATTATAATAATACCCTAATATTATATATACAAAAATAATTTCTTACCGGAATTCCCTCCCAGCCAATGTTGTCTGAAATCCCAAGAATCAAACTTTCTTCTTCCTCATTCTCCCTGAAACAATACACAAACAAAACACACACACACATACACATACACACCACTTTGCTCCAATTCCTCCTCTCTCTCTCTCTCTCTCTCATCCAACCTTTGCATGTCTTCTCACTCTAAACCAACCTTCTTCCTCAAACTCCTCGAAGCCCTTCCCTCCAGAGTTTCGGGGTCCAAATCCATTCAACACAAATGGGTGGATGCTGCTCCAAGTCCGACGCTCAATCCGACGCCGGCGACAAGAAAGACGAATCGGCGTCGGCCAACCCCAACTCCGCCTCCACCTCTGCCACGCCGGCGCCACAACCATCTCAGAATCCCCGGCCGAGTGCCGCCGGCAACTCCAAGTCGACCCCAATAGGCCCGGTCCTCGGCCGCCCCATGGAGGACCTGCGCGCCACCTACACCATCGGGAAAGAGCTCGGCCGCGGCCAATTCGGGGTCACCTACCTCTGCACCCACAAGCAATCCGGTGAGCAGTATGCGTGCAAGACCATCGCCAAGAGGAAGCTCGTCCACGACGAGGACATCGACGACGTCCAACGCGAGGTCCAGATCATGCACCACCTGACGGGCCAGCCGAACATCGTCGAGCTCAAGGGGGCCTACGAGGACAAGCATTCGATCCACTTGGTCATGGAGCTCTGCGCCGGAGGGGAGCTCTTCGACCGGATCATCGCCAAGGGCCATTACACGGAACGCGCCGCCGCGTCCCTGCTCAGAACCATCGTCGAGATCGTGCACACCTGTCATTCCATGGGAGTCATTCACAGAGATCTTAAGCCCGAGAATTTCTTGCTGCTCAATAAGGATGAGAATTCGCCTCTCAAGGCCACAGATTTCGGGCTCTCCGTGTTCTACAAAGAAGGTTCGCGATTCCAACGATCGCCTGAAAAAATTTGAAAAAAAAAACATCGATCGTTAGTTCATAGTTCATACAATCCTCGAATTCAGACAGCATATGTGATCTATGGGCTATCTATCTATATACATTATGCAGGAGAAGTGTTCAAAGACATTGTAGGAAGTGCATATTACATAGCTCCAGAAGTCTTGAGGAGACGGTACGGACCAGAGGTTGATATTTGGAGTATCGGCGTGATGCTGTACATCTTACTCAGCGGAGTTCCTCCATTCTGGGCAGGTACAATCTAATTTCCGACAAGATGGTTTCTTGTCGTCGCTGAGTTCTGGATGATCAACAAAAAATAAAAAATGTAAGTAATTTTACAGAAACGGAGAATGGAATATTCAACGCAATTCTACGCGGGCATGTCGATTTCGCTAGTGATCCATGGCCTTCAATTTCACACGGGGCAAAAGATCTTATCAAGAAGATGTTGAATGCAGATCCAAAACAGAGAATGACAGCCTTTGAAGTCTTAAGTATGTTTATTTCTTGACTACCGACTTTAAACTGTGATTTTTCGAATAAAAACCTATGGTGTATTCAAGATTAACAAACAGTCCAATGTAATGTGCTTACTTTAGCAATGGCTTCTTACCTTGGTTTTTCGTGTTTCTAAGATCATCCATGGATCAAGGAGGATGGCGAGGCGCCCGATACTCCTATAGACAATGCTGTTCTGAATAGGCTGAAACAATTCAAGGCTATGAATCAATTCAAGAAAGTCGCACTACGGGTATATATATATATATATGTATACAGAGCTACAAGAAAACATACCTATTCTTCGGCGAAGTTACTGGTCGGGGAATTTTACAGGTTATCGCCGGATGCCTGTCGGAGGAAGAAATCATGGGATTGAAAGAGATGTTCAAAGGGATGGATACCGACAGCAGTGGTACGATAACTCTTGAAGAGCTCAAGCAAGGATTGGCCAAGAAAGGTACCAAGATATCTGAATACGAAGTGCAGCAGTTAATGGAAGCTGTAAGTTCCATAAAACTTCATACGATAAGCAAACTACAAATAAATCTATTGACTATCAACAAAAAACAACTCATATTTATAACTGTCATATATCTTTCGGAAACACCAGGCTGATGCTGATGGAAATGGAACAATAGACTACGAAGAATTCATTACAGCAACAATGCATATGAACAGAATGGATAGAGAAGAACATCTTTACACAGCATTCCAGTATTTCGACAAAGACAACAGCGGGTATAGTGTCAAGAAAAAATTAAGAACAGTCTGCGTATGTTACGGTAGAATTATATTAGACTCATACTGCGAAATTTGTTCTAATCAGGTACATTACAGTGGAAGAACTCGAGCAAGCTCTCCGAGAGTTCGGCATGGATAATGGAAGGGACATCAAAGAAATCATCACTGAAGTGGATGCTGATAATGTAAGCTTAAAAACACACATTCGAATTTATCACATTTTGACAAAATCACTTATAACCCACCCCATAATATGAAAAGTCTGCACTAACTCCTGACTCCTTTGTGATTTAAAAATTGTACCAGACTCTCGTGTTTTATAAAATATCCCAAAAAATCCCCTAGAAATTATATGAAATTCCCTCGTGTTTTAGAAAACATTGCACAAAATCTCTAATCTTTTCTAAAACACAAGAGTACAAACTTTCCAAACTATAAGTATAAGCAATTTTGCCTCATTTTCTACAAAACTTGTATGAATTTTATTCGGCATAAAGCTCACTGTGGTGTCACTTCCACATATCTGCAGGATGGAAGAATAAACTATGACGAGTTTACAGCCATGATGCGGAAAAATAATACAGAGGCGGTACCAAATCCCAAGAGACGGAGGGATGGTGTTTTTGCAACATAGTTATTATGAACAATCAACATGAGGAGATTTAAAAACCTCTACCCAATTTTGTGCCTCAGTTTCGTCCACAAAGGAAAAGGGCAATGCCTTTTGAAAGCTCAAGAGACACTAAACTAGAATACCTTCGAAAAGCTGATAAACAGAGGGAGAATGTGCTGTGTTCCTATGGCTGGTTATTTCTGGTAAAAGTGACAAAGTAGCAGTGACTCGAAGGGTAGCAACTAACAAGGTTCGTCGGCTGCATAGTTTGAAAAAATCAATTTATGTATAACATCAGCGATGTATATATAGATATATTAATCGAATTCTCCCTTTGTGCAGTTCATCTTTTTGTTTCATCAATTATATATCCATCCGAGTCTTACATTCTTAGGGTTAATGATTAAGAACAAATTTGTAGTATGGGAACAAGGAGCACATGAATTTCAAGCCAGATAGTGCTTAAAGATATCATTATCGAACCAAATGATGAAAGAGAAGCAGTATACATCTAAGCATCCATCAGTAAAGCCGATTGATCACAGAGGTTTTTAAATTGAAATTTACGTTGCAATACCCTACCTCTCCGGAACTTTCTGAATCTCATCCTCCTTCTGGTTAAATTTCTTGGACATCTTCGCCTGCTGGTAATACAGCACAATCAACTACCTATTCGCCACGTTGAACCCGGCAGGCGATTCGACGGCGGTTGATGTCGTAGATATGGTCGTAACGAAAGCACTGCCGCTCTATTTATTGTTTTATTGGACAAATAACTATTTTTATAGTTAGACTTTTATTTATTTATTTATTTTTTATATAAAATTAATTTATATTAGTAATATAAATATATATATTTATTTATATTTTCAGTAAATTCATTATAAATATATTTATTTTTGTTAATTTTCGATTAATACGTTTTAGTAAATATAATTTTGCTGTAATTACAAATATTTTTAAATTTATATATTAATATCAATATATTAATCTACATATTAAGAGAAAATTAATTTTTAAATATAAATATCACTATAAGTTATTATTAATATTTCATATTTATATATCCATTTATTTTTTATATCCAATGTTAAAAATATTAATATTATATTATGATAAAGTAGAAATAAAGGTAAAAATACTAAATTAACTCTATTAGTATTGTATGATATAAAGGTAATGACATTTGTGTAATATATTGTAAAATTGAAGGGTATTTGTAACGTTACGTAGATAGTACAATTACTAACAAAATAAATTGATAATTTGTTATAAGACGGACCAAAATAAAAAAATGGATAGATTGTTAAAGAACGGAAGGAGTAATTGGTAAATATATATATTTGATATATAAATATAATATATGTATATATGAAATATACATGATGTGTTTCTTTAGACGGGTTTGGGGGATTTGAGTTTGGATTTGATTTTTATTTGAATTTTGGGATGAGTTTGAATTTTGTTGTTTGTTTTTTGGTTTGGATTTGGTTGGAGTTTTGAGAGTTTTGATATGTATTAATTTGATGGATAATGAATAAAATAATATAAATGTATATTAAATTTAATTGATAAAATTAATATTGTATGATTTGATTATGAAGTTATATTATACCCAATATATATTTAATTTTTTTTTTGTATTATAGAAAAATGTATTCTCTACAAAATGACATATATATTATATATTTTTTAAAAAAAATGTGGCAAAAGCTGCATTTGCAGCATTTGTCCTGCAAAGGGGAATCGGGCTGGTTTGGGGGAAAAATACTGTGCACAGTGTTTGGACAGTGTTTTCCCCCAAACCAGCCTTGGGAAAACGGATATATATATAGATATATCTTTGTAGTGTGCAATGATTATATGTAATATATTATTATATGTATGTAATAGATATGAATGTATGTATGGAAGTATCTATGTATATATGTTTACAGAGATGCAGACGAGAAAGAGAATTGATGAAGGAAAGTGTGGTGTCTTATTTCATTTACTCTCTTATTTATAGGATCAATTAGCCGACTTAAATCGCCTTAAGTGAATGGCAGGAAGTTGGCCAATTGTTTCTCTAGTTACAAAGAATACGTAGTTAACTTACATGCATCCACATCGCATATATGTGTATATAACATATATTACAACACAAGTAAAATATAGTAAAAATGACTATTTTCATTTAACAAAATATTGTATAAATTTAAAAATAAGTAGAACTTTAGAAATAAGTTTCCATCTTTGTCTTTCATTAATTTTTTTTTTTTTTTTTTCTGTAATGACAAGATGAAGAAGGTGAGACTTAAAACTCTTAGACGAAAATATGAACTTCAAATAGAACCTTTGGAGACAATTGAAACTTACATTGCTCGAGTCTCGGCCATGACAAATAATGTGAAGACACATGAAGAAACTTTTCCGGAACAAAATAAGGTGGAGAAAATTCTGAAACCCTTAACCTCTAGCTTCGAGCATATTGAAACATAATCGAATGAGGCAAGGATATGTCAACAATGATAGTCCAACTATTGTCAAGATCCTTATGAGCTCACAAGCAACGGATGAATGAAAATAAAATAGTTGTGCTGATGGAGCAAGCTTTTCAAGTACACATTTCCATTCGTGGTAAACTAATCGAAAGGATGAAAATCTCATAGGTGGAGGAAGAGGAAAAGTACGAGGTAGTAATCAATTTGGTCGAGGACGAGGCCAAGGAAGAGGTTATTGCAGTAATATGACTGACAATTCCTCCTCATGGTCACTCTAAAGAGAGGTATGATAAATCTAATGTGGAGTGTTACAATTGTCACAAGCGTTGCCACTTTACAAACAAGTGTAGGTACGAAAATAACAATCAAGTAGCCCATTGCACTCAAGAATGTGATACTAATAATGAATAAAAAGAGAGTGGACATGCACTCTTAATGTTTACTGCTACAAATAAGGCACCAACTTCACACATTGGTTCTTGAATTCGGGATGCACAATTCATATGTGTGGTGAGAAAGATATGTTCAACGAACTCAATAAATCATTTCGCACTAATGTGAGGTTTAGTAATGGTCAATCAATGTTGGTGACGGGAAAATGTCAAATTATTATCTTATTGACAATGGGATAACATAGCTACATCACAGATGTATTCTATGTTCCACATATGAAGACCAACATGTCGAGCATATGACGATTGATCAAGAAAGGATATGCCATAACAATCCAAAATAATCAAAATTGCATGTTTTATGCTAAAGGAAACTATAAATGTCTTAGCACTGTCTCCATTGTCCAAAAATCGTATGTTTTATGCTAAAGACAACTATAAATGTCTTAACACTGTTTCGAATGATGAATCATGGCTTTGGCGCCTTTGTTTTGGACTCTTGAATTTTTAGAATATGAAATAGCTCTTTAGGGAGAGTCTGGTGCAGGGACTTTCTGATATTAATCATCCTAATCAGCTTTTTGAAACTTGTGTTATTGGAAAGAGTCATATGTCCTCATTTTCTAGAGAATCAGGGTGTGCAAAGCATCCATTAGAATTGATTCACACAAATGTTTGCGGAGCAGTGAACACATTGTCGATTGGTGGAAATAATTTTTTTTTTTACATTCATTGATGACTATACCAGGTTGGGTATACCTCTTGGAGAAGAAATCTAAAGTCTTCGATTATTTTAAAAAATTCAAGTTTCTTGTCGGAGGCAAAGTGTATCCAATCTTAAGGTGTTGGGAGTGATGGTAGAGGAGAATACACATCCATTGAGTTCAACCACTATTGTGTGAGTATAGGATATGCCGCGAAAATCATTTCCCTATACTTCAAAATACAATAGAGTGGCTAAGAGGAAAAATCAGACGATATTAGATATGACACGAAGTATGCTAAAGACTAAAGGTATGCCTAATTTTTTTTAGGTGAGCTGTAGCATGTTCAATTCAGTTGCTAAACATGTCACTTACAAGAAGTCATCATTCTATGACATCTTCTGAAGCTTGGAGTGGATTCAAACAAAGTGTGAACAACCTTAGAGTGTTTGGATCACTGGCCTATGCTCATGTTCCAGTAGTGACAAGAACAAAATTAGATGATTAATAGTTTTATATTGGTTACAAACAAGGTGGATACAAGTTGTTCAACCCCATCACAAAGAAAGTAACCGTGAATCGAGATATGGTCTTTGCTGAAAATAAAACATGGAATTAGAATTCTGAGACAAATATTGGTTCAATTAAATGAGATATTTGCAACTTGGATGTGGATCCTAGATTTTCAAATAATAACATAAATGCAACTGAAGCCCCGAATGCATAATTAATTGAAACTAAAAGCCTAACATATGAACTTACTAAAACAAAAAGACCTAGAAGGAAACGACGATAATCAACATATTTGCAAGCCTAACATATGAGTCACGCTATCATTTCCAGAGAGACCAAGTTGAAATAAAAAGAATCACATTGGAGTATTGCTAGTCCGAAGAGCAAGTTGCTGAAATAATCACCAAGCCATTAAAGATTGAAGCTTTTCTTAAACTTGTTAGTAAATGGGTATTGCGAGAAATAAATATATCGTGAAACCGAATCAATGATGAATCTTTTTTCCTAAAATTAGATACGTCTCGGTAGTGCCTCCGGTGGCTGGTGTTCTAACCTTAAAAAAAATAGTTTATGTCTCTGATAAAAGTAACACCTCAGATCTTCGAAGTTCCGACGAACAAAACGAGTGAAGAATTGAGTTGGGAGGTTTCCGAAAAGTTAGAAGTGATGAGAAAATGAGAGGAGGATATTTTTTGTGTGTTTTGAATGAAGGGGGAAAACCTTTTATATGCGTCTCCAATCAGCCAATATGACAGTAGATCAATTACGATTATAGTTACGATCTTAATTACCGATGTAATTTATTATTATTTCAAACTTTCTTTTTGAAGTGGTCGTAATTTATTCTAATTTCAAAACTTTCATTTGAGATGATTGTAATTTATTCTCAATTCCAAGCTTCCATTTGAGACGATTGTAATTTATTTTAATTTCAAACATTTCATTTGAGATGATTGTAATTTATTTTAAAAGTATTTTTCATAATAAACTGTTTGGATGTATTATTTTAAAAGCAACTTTTCATGAAAAAAAAAATTGTTTGGATGTAAAATTACTAAAAAGGACATGCTATTAATATAATTGTATTCTTTTATAAAAATTATATATATTTTTTATAATTTTTTTAATTATTTTTAAATATTTTATTAAAAGTATAGAAAATCTATTTTTAAAATTTAATTATTTATATTTTGAAATTTAATTTAAAGAAAATATATAAATTTAAAATAAAATTACAATATAATAGGAGTATTAAATTATTTGTATTTCCAATTTATTTTAAAATTTTATAACTTATATCTAATAATTTTAGCATAATTAAAAAAATTATATATTACTTTTAAATTTGGTATCTCAATTATAATTTTAAATTTTAATTCAAGTTTAATATATAAATTAAAAATAATAATATAATTTTATTTTTTATTTTTTTAAAAAAATTAATATATAAATTAATTATTTTTATAATATATTATAGTATGTTATGTAATATGTACGTAGTGACTACGTGGCCTTTTTATTGTATGTTTTTCTCTTCCTTCGGAACAAGGTTTTTACACCTATAAATAGGTGTTAATTGTTAGAATGAGGAGACACAACAAACACACAATTCATCCTCTTAAAACTCTCTCTCGCTGCGTTTATCTATCTGTACTATATTATAATATATAAATATTATATACTAATATACAAGTACTTATACATATATATATATCTACTTACTATTATTATTATATTATTATATAACACGTTATCAGCGTGAAGCTCTTGCCTATCTTATTTTTGGTAAGTATTATTTTTATACTATTACCTATTTTCTAAACTATGGAAAACCTTGCAAAATTTTCTTTTAAACCTCTATCTCTCACCGGCAACAATTTTCTGACTCGGTCCCTGGATGTAGAAATGCATCTGGTTTCTATGGGCCTTGTTCATACAATTGCTAGTGAAAATACGGCTACAAGCCAAGATCGGGCTAATACTATTATTTTCATCCGTTATCATTTGGACATTCCTCTACAGTCTGAATATTTGACGGTGAAAGAACCACTGGATTTGTGGAATGAATTGAGAGAGAGATTTGGGCACTTGAAATATATCACTCTCCCCAAAGCCCGACATGATTAGCTTAACCTGCGGTTGCAGGATTTTAAAACTGTTACAGAGTACAACTCTGCTATCCATCAGATTACATCTCAGTTGAAACTCTGCGGAGAAACTGTTACTGATAAATTGGAGAAGACTATCTCTACCTTTCATGCTTCTAATGTTGTGTTGCAACAGCAGTATTGCGAGAAAAATTTTCAAAAGTACTCACAGCTCATTGCATGTCTTTTATTAGCTGAGCAAAATAATGAGTTACTGATGAAAAATCATCAGTCCTGGCCCACTGGTTCCAGTTCGTTCCCTGAAGCGAACGTGACATTTTCTGAACGAGGCCGAGGACGTGGTAGAGGCTGTGCACGTGGTCGCGGTCGTGAGAGTCAACGTGGTCGATATACCCCTTACAATCGCCGCAGTTTTGACATTAACAGGATGCAGAGTAAACCCCAAGATGGGGATATAGCCGAAAAGGCTAAACAGGGAAAGAGACAAATCGGAAGTTGTAATCGGTGTGGCATTGAAGGCCTTTGGGTCAATGCCTGCAGAACAGCCAAACACCTAGCCGATCTTTATCAAGTCTCACTACAAAAAAATGGGAAAGAGGTCGAGATTAATTACGTTGATAATGACGACCCCGATGATGATCTTTTGGATTACGACACAACGCATCTTGATATAGCGGATTTTGTCGTAGATTCAGAAAACCCCCAGTCATAGACATATTATGTCATTTTACATTATGTTTTGTAATATTTAAATTATCGCATATTACCTTTTTGTAATGTATTTTGTAATAATTATATTTGCCTTTATTAATACTGCATTTACTTATATTTGAAGGTTAAATGGATGCCAATCAAAATGATGCAAATATCTGTTTTATTGACAGTGCAACAACACATACTATATTGAAACACGAAAAATATTTCTCACATTTGAAAAGGGAAAAAATGAATGCCAATACAATAAATGGGAGTGCGAAATTAATTGAAGGCTCTGAAGTAACCATTATATTTCTCCCCGCGGGGACAAAAATTGTGATACAGTATGCACTGTTGGCCACTAAAGCTCGAAGAAATCTACTGAGCTTTCATGACATTCGGAAAAATGGTTATCACATTGAAACTATGAGTGATACCGATGGTGAATTTTTATTGATCACCAATATCATTGATAAAAGGAGATGCATCATTGAGAGATTATCCTCACTCTCTACTGGTTTATATTATGCCAGATTAGGTGTTGTTGAAACACACCTCACGGTAGATCAAAAGACTACCGATTTTCAAATATGGCATGATCACCTTGGACATCCTGGCAGTATAATGATGAGGCGGATAATTGAGAATTTGCATGGCCATTCATTAAAAGGTCAAAAAGTGTTAAACTCAAATGAGTTAACATGTGTTGCCTGCACTCAGAGAAAATTGATAACCAGGCCATCGCCAGCTAAAGTAGGTATTGAATCACCTACATTTTTGGAAAGAATACACGGGGATATATGTGGACCAATAGACCCACCGTGTGGGCCATTTAAATATTTATGGTGCTTATTGATGTATATACCAGATGGTCATATGTTAGTTTATTATCTACTTGCAATATGGCATTCGCAAGATTGCTTGCCCAAATTATTAAATTACAGGCACAATTCCCCGATAATCCAATTAAGACTATACATGTGGATAATGCTGGTGAATATATATCAAATGCATTTAATGATTATTGCATGTCGATTGGAATTAATGTAGAGCACCCAGTTGCTCATGTTCATACACAAAATGGCTTGACATAATCACTTATTAAAATATTGCAATTGATTTCTAGACCATTACTGATGAGATCTATGTTGCCTGTTTCAGGGCATGCAATCTTACATGCAGGAACACTTATAAGAATGAGGCCGACAAGCTATCATAGCTATTCCCCAATGCAGTTAGTATTTGGTCACGAACCAAATATATCTCATCTACGTATTTTTGGGTGTGTTGTTTATGTTCCTATTCCACCCCCAAACGTACAAAAATGGGTCCTCAACGTAGATTGGACATTTATGTCAGATATGAATCGCCATCAATTATAAAATATCTTGAACCTATGACGTGCGATTTATACACTGCAAGATTTGCAGATTGTCATTTTAACGAATCATATTTTCCGACATTAGTGGGAGACAAAAACGAACCAAAAAGGGATATTAATTGGAAAATCCCTTTGAATCTTTGTGATCCTCGTACAAAGCAGTGTGAACTAGGAGTTCAACGCATTATACATTTGCAAAATATTGCAAATCAGTTACGGGATGCATTCAATGACTCGAGCAAAGTTACTCGATCATATATCCAAGCTGCTAATGCTCCAGCTAAAATAATTGTCCCTGATGGACAAAGTGCAAGTGCTAATGAATCAGCGACATGCTTAAAGCGTGGTAGACCACTCGGTTCCAAAGATAAACACCCTCGAAAGAAAAGAGGAATTAATGATGATAATCATGAAAATATCAGGAATGACATTGATAAACCTCAATCTAACGAGGAAGTCAACCCTGAAATAATTGCTCCAGAAGAGCACGATTTTGAAGAACATGATGAGATTATTGAAAACTCAATTAACTATATTACTTCAAGAAAATGTTGGAACCGTAAAGAGGCAATTATTGATAATGCCTTCGCATACAATTTAGCACTTGATATATAATGGAAGAAAACGAGGATCCAGAGCCAAAATCGGTTCATAAATGTCGGCAAAGAAATGACTGGCCAAAATGGGAACATGCGATTCAATCAAAGCTCGACTCATTAAACAAAAGAGAGGTCTTCGGACCAATTGTTCAAACACCAGATGGTATAAAACCAGTTGGATGCAAAAGGGTGTTTATACGAAAAAGAAATGAGCATAATGAAATTGTGAGATATAAAGCCCGTCTTGTAGCTCAGGGATTCTCACAAAGGCCTGGAGTAGATTTTGATGAAACGTACTCTCCAGTTGTTGATGGAATAACATTTAGATACCTTGTGAGCCTAGCAGTGCGAGAAAAGCTCGATATACGTCTTTTAGACGTAGTCACTGCATATCTTTATGGCTCCTTGGATACTGATATTTATATGAAAGTCCCTGAGGGATTCAATATGCCTAAACATACAAATTAAACCCAAGGGAATCATATTCCATCAAATTGAAAAAGTTATTGTATGGACTTAAACAATCAGGGCGAATTGGTATAACCGTCTCAGTGACTGCTTAATAAAAGAAGGTTATACTAATGATCCAATATGCCCATGCGTCTTTATAATGAAAAATGGATCAAATTTTGTCATTATTGCGATATATGTTGATGATTTCAATTTAATTGGAACTCCTGAAAAGATTCAAATTGCAGTTGAATATCTAAAGAAAGAATTTAAGATCAAAGATTTTGGAAAGACAAAATATTGTCTGGGTTTACAAGTAGATCATGCGAACAATAGAGTATTTATCCATCAATCCACATATACCCAGAAGGTATTAAAACAATTTTATATGGATAAATCTCACTCTCTGAGTACACCAATGGTGGTCAGATCCCTTGATCCCAATAAAGATCCATTTAGGCCAAGAGAAGAAAATGAAGAAATACTTGGCTCCGAGGTACCATATCTCAGCGCTATTGGCGCATTAATGTACCTTGCAAATTGTACCAGACCAAATATATCTTTTTCAGTAAGTCTACTGGCCAGGTTTAGCGCATCCCCCACAAAGCGCCATTGGAATGGTATCAAGCACATTTTTCGTTATCTTCAGGGAACTCATGACCTCAGTTTATTTTATTCAAGTGAATCTCAAAATGAATTAATTGGTTATACTGATGCTGGTTATCTGTCTGATCCACACAAAGCAAAATCAAACTGGCTATTTATTTACCTGTGGTGGAACCGCAATATCTTGGAGATCTACTAAACAGAAAATAACAGCAACTTCTTCAAACTATGCTGAGGTTTCAGCAATTCACGAAGCCAGTCGTGAATGTGTTTGGTTGAGGTCTATGACGTACCATATTCAGAAAAATTGTGACTTGATTTCTGATGATGTATTACCTCCTACAATATTATTTGAAAATAATGCAACTTGTATAGTTCAATTAAATGGAGGATATATTAAAGGCGATCGGACAAAGCACATATCTCCGAAGTTCTTTTTCACTCATGATCTTCAGAAAAGTGGTAAAATGTGCAACAAATTCGATTGTCTGAAAATTTTGCAGATTTATTTACGAAGACGCTACCAACTGCAACATTCAACAAACTGGTGCAAGGAATTGGAATGTGTAAGATGAAAGACATCAAATAAAGTCCAAAATAAGGGGAGCGCATTAATACAAGAATAATGTACTCTTTTTTCTTCACTATGATTTTTTTCCCACAGGGTTTTTTCATAGTAAGGTTTTAACGAGGCACATGTGTTATGTAATATGTACGTAGTGACTACGTGGCCTTTTTATTGTATGCTTTTCTCTTCCTTCGGAACAAGGTTTTTACACCTATAAATAGGTGTTAATTGTTAGAATGAGAAAACACAACAAACACACAATTCATCCTCTTAAAACTCTCTCTCCCGGCGTCTATCTATCTCTACTATATTATAATATATAAATATTATATACTAATATACAAGTACTTATATATATACTTACCATTATTATTATATTATTATATAACGTCGTATGGTATTTATTATTATTATTTGAAAAAATCACAAGCAATTGTTAGAAGCCAATCTAAATAGACCTTAAATTTTGTCTTCTCAAATCAGAATTAAGGGAAGTTGTTGATTGAATAAATCTTTGTAACGTTTAGCTATATTATAGAACTTCGTTTTGTAGTGCAGATATTCCTTTATTTTGTGGGTATTAGTTACTTTTCTATATATTGTATCTTTCATAATTGAGAAAATACAAAGATACAAGTGTTCTCTCATCTACTTCTTCTGTCGTGTTATTATCCATCATTTCTTTTTTTTTTTTTTTTTTTTTAACTGTAGCCGCTGTCCGAAAGAAAATATTGAATAAATTTTCGATCGAGGGCGAGGATTCCCTCAATTTGAATGTCTTTCATTGAAAAAATCATTCTTTAGTGGCGAAGAGACAACACGAGAGAGAGAGAGAGAGAAGTTTCAATTAATTCACAACAACCTTAAACGCCCCAAATTTGCAGTAGTACAGTAAACGACGACATAAACCAAAGTATATATGAGGAAATAGTAATAGACATACTATTATATAATATGCAGTACAGAACAGAACACCATTGTTGCATCTGCAATGATGATCTCATCTCATATCATCTCATCTCATTCTCCTCTCCCCAAGCAAAGCATCAACGAAGATGACGATGACTTCTTATATTCCATCACAGCCATTGTCGTCGTCGTCATCTTCTTCTTCTTCCCCTTAGATTTAGACTTAAAGCTCACCACTCTCCCCAGATACCCTCCCGCCCTCCACCTCTGCACAAACCTCCACACTTTACTATTACCATTATGATTCGCTTTCGATCTTCCTATGTTGTCCAACCCGTCTTCCTCGTCGTTTTCGTCCTTAACGGGCCTAACCCTTTTCGCGAATACGGAGCTCCGCGGACTTATCGCGGGGCTAATTATCCCTTCGCGGGTCTGGTCACGAACCCATCTCGCGTACGCCGACCCTTTCAACTCCAACGGCCCGCTGTGGCTATGGCTCGCCGTCGCCGGAGTAATTCTATTAGGCTCCGGCGATCGCGTGACGTGGCCTCTGAACGGCGAATACGATCTCGACCGTCGGTGTTGGCTTTTCCGGTGGGGCTCGTCTCTGACCTTCTCCAAAGCGGCGGCGAACGGATCAAAGTCGTCGTTCCACGAGCTCATCCGCCGCGGGAATGGCAGCCGGCAGACGGTCCCCGCCGCCGGCGGAGATCTCCGGCGGAAGCTGTTGGGTTCGGAGGGGTCGTTAATTAGGAGCCTCGGGGGGAGCTTCAGAGGCATCACTTGGCCGTTGAGGAATAGCTCGTCGGCAAACGCCATGGCCGGCAGGGAATCGCCGCGATCGCGGTGGCGCCACTTGCCGGAGAGATCGTCGGCGGCGTCGGAATCCATGGCGCGATCGTCGAAAGCTTTGAACTCAAAATCAGTGGGGCTGTTGGGGGCTGTTACATAGGCCAGAGGGGAAGAAGAAGGATCCATTGTAAGATTTTGGGCAGGGAAGAGAGAATTTGGGGATTTTATTTAATTTAAGTGGCAGAAAACAAGAATGAGTGGGAGATGGCCAAGAAGTGACTGAGTATGCTTTTATATATAAAATATACAATAATCTGACTTGATATAGCAACAATTTCAGACATCCTCTCTCAAGAAAGAAAGAAAGAAAAGATTTATATTATTATACCATTTGGTGTCTGTGTGTAAGAAACTCCCAAAAAGTGGTTTAAAGTGGGCATCATTTTCCTAAGTGGGGTGTGGCTTTTGTTTGGGATATTTGTTTCATCAGAAAGGATCATTATTGACTAAGAAATTAGGGGCTTTGGATTTGAATTGTATTTATAGATCAATTTAATTCTGTGGAATCTTGTTGTAATACAATAAATGTGATATTGATGGGACAGTCTGATCTGATTGGATAAGAGAGGCATTACTTGATGCTTAATCTTGCTTTCTTATGATCAAAACATTTTGCTTTTGCCCAAGTTTAAGCAAGATTATCCTGCCACGCTTCCACAAAGCCACCCCCTTACCTTATTTTGTGGCTACAGTGCTAAATTTCAATACCAAATGTACTCAACATGAACAATCTTTTTTTTATAATTATGAACAAATAATATGTAATAAAAACATATGTTGTTTACAATACTGTTATTGATCATGCTCTACAAGATTCTTGCATCATATTCTTTGCCATAAAAGGTTTTGGAAAAGAAAAAATCAAATCAAATCAAAAGTGACAAGTAGGATGGATCATCATCAAAAAAGACAATTATAGTCCCAATACACAATGCTCATCTTTGCAGAAAAGCACACATAATGGCAAAAATACAAAATGCAGATCTGTAGAGGAATATAAATATGACACACACACAAAAAAAAAATAAAAAAAAATTGTAAGAAACAAAATCAAGCACACCTTTTGGTAGCAGTGAAATAATCAGCAGCAGTAAGAAACACATGTTTCCCCAAAACTAAATTCACTTCAGGCTGACCTTCAATGGAGCTCACCTTCATCTTACCTTGTCCCTGCTGAAATTCTGTCTTCAAATTCTGGTAATCTCTCGACAACAAATACGTCTGTAATCCTTTCGCAAACTTGTCGTTCCCGCCGTTCAGTGTCAGAAGCGCATCGGTGTCGAACACAAGGGCTGGCCTGGTGAGAGTAATGGCGAAAGAGATGTTCGATATCCCGTGGAAGCTCTCTTCGGCGAGGACGATGGCGTGGCGCGGAAGCGAAGTCGCCGGTAGCAGAGGAGATCCGAGAGCTTCTCTGATGTACTGTTCCTGCGATTCGAGAATTTCTTTTGAAAAGGTTTCGCCTTTGTCCAGTGATTTGAAGAAGACTTCGACTGCGTCGGTGGGCTCGAGCGCAGCCTTCTTCCGCAGCTTCTGAATTCGGTTTACGATCTCTCGAGCGATTCCCGCCTCGAGCAACGAGTCGTCCCTCCGCAGGTCTAATATCACCAAGACGTCGCCGTCTCCTTTCGCGTCGATGTCTTCGAGGCTCACGTTGTTGGGAGGCCGGAACTCCCGAGTTATCTTGATATCGCTTAGCTTCAGGACGTGAGAGGCGATGGTAATCTCCCCGGCTTTTTCGAAAGCTAATATGTCGTCCGTCGACATGGATTTAACTTCCTTCGCAACAATTCCCATGGATTTCCCGAGTTTTCGCCCCAGCACGCTGAAATCAGGCTCGGCGCGCAACGAAGCGTACTTCAACGTATCGCTGCAGGGAACAAGAGATTTAACGTTGAGCTCCTCCAGCACATATTCCTTAAGTTTTCCGGCAATGTCGCTCAGGAAGTCCTCGTCTGGATGAACAATCACCATCTCCTTGAGGGGTGTTTTAAGCGGTTTGTTGTGACGTTCGCGGATGTTCCTTGCGAGATCTATGATCGTCATCATTCGGTTGACGCTTTCTTCGATACGATCTCCCCTCTTGCCTTCCACTTCGGGGAATCTGCAGTAGTGAATGCTTTCTTCCGATCCGGCGCTAACTTTCCTCAGATTCTGATAAAGAACTTCCGTGAAGAATGGGGTGAAAGACGCCATAGCTTTGCAAGCTGTTAGAAGCACATAATACAGCGTCGAAAGAGCAGTCCTGCAATCATCCTCTCCGGTACGGCCTTTCAGCCTCTTGCGATTGAATCTCACGTATATATTCGTCAAGTTGTCCAAGAACTTCAAGAGATACGGAACCACCGTGTAGAGTCGATAAGCATCCATTTCTTGCCGCACGAAATGGACTAAACTCTGAGTTGCCGAGTTGATCCATTGGTCTAAAACATTCGAAGACTTCTGGAGTCTGTTCTGATCGATTGGGGTAAACACCGCAAGACCTTCGATTTCAAGCCTTTTGGCATTTTGCACGAGGAATCTGTAAGCATTATACCATGGCAAGAAGACATCCTTCACTACACCATAAACTCCATCTTTCTTAAACCGCAAAGGCTCCGCACGAACAACTGGTGAGTTGATAATGTACAACCGCAATGCATCAGCTCCGTACTCGTTTATAACTTCGGAAGGCGGTGGATAATTCCTCAATCTCTTGCTCATCTTCTTCCCATCTTCCGCCAATACGAGTCCATTGCAAATGAGATTTCTGAAAGCTGGTTTACCGAAGAGCGCAGTCGAGAGAACCATGAGCGTATAGAACCATCCTCGTGTTTGATCTAGTCCTTCAGCCACAAAATGTCCCGGGAAGTTTTTCTCAAACAGTTCAACATTTTCGAATGGATAATGGATGTAAGCATGAGGCATTGATCCACTCTCAAACCAGCAATCGAACACATCCTCTACACGCCGAAGGACACCAAATTCTGGACCTCGACTTGAGGGGATTGTGATATGATCGATTTTATGACGATGTAAGTCAGTCACCTTGGCACCTGAAAGCTTTTCCAGTTTCTCAACAGAATCCATGACAACAATCTCCTCACCGTCCTCACTGATCCATAAAGGAAGCGGAGTACCCCAAAACCTACTTCGACTGACAGCCCAGTCTCGAGCATTCTCAAGCCAATTGTGGAAGCGCTTTTCCTTCACAAAATCGGGTACCCAGTACGTCTGTTTGTTGTTTTCTAGCAGCTGATCTTTAATCTTTTCTACAGCTACAAACCAACTCGGCACTGCTCGGTATATAAGTGGCGTGTCAGATCTCCAGCAAAAGGGGTAGCTGTGAGTAAAGCTTCCAGATTTCACTAGCCTGTCTTTCTCTTTCACAGCTTGAATTATATCTTTATCTGCATCCTTCACATAGCGCTTGCTAAAGTCGACAATTCTCTCAGTAAAACAGCCATCGTCGTCCACAGCTACAACCAGGTTTTCCCCCTTATTAATTATCCCATTCTCCAAACAGACTCGGTAATCGTCTTCTCCAAATGCAGGAGCACAGTGTACAATCCCAGTACCACTGTCATCAGTGACGTAGTTATCTGAAACAACTTTAAATGCAACTTCAGAGAAATCCTTGAAGTAATCAAATAAAGGGACATATTTCTTTCCTACAAGCGAAGCTCCGGAAAACTTATCCAGTATTTCATATGTCTCAACATTCTTAGATTTTCCGCCAGAGGACTTGGGTTTGGCTTTTGCATTTTCAGAAGCATTAGCAGTTCCATCCGGCAAGCTTTTTTTGGCTTTTTCAACAGGAAGCTCCCCCAAACGTGATTCTGCAACCACATAAACTTTCCCATTGAACTTGTTTCGGACCTTAACATACACAAAATTGGCATTGACACAGAGTGCAAGATTGGAAGGCAGTGTCCAGGGGGTTGTGGTCCACGCAACAAAACTTGCACCGTCTGGATCGTCAATTACAGGAAAAGATACCATTATTTCCGGGTCAGGAACTTCTTTATAGTTTGAATTGGCTTCGAAATTCGATAGTGGCGTTTTGCAACCTGTACTGTACGGCATAACCTGCATGGAAAATCTAATTAGAAATTAAGCATGTAAATGATGGGAGCTTATATCACTGAAAAAGATAACAATGAAGGTTCCCTAATAACTTCCATCATGAATAGTAAAATCAGTTTCAAAGCTATGCTCAATTGCTCAAATTCCTTGCCCCAACATATATATGCACAACAACGAGAATATATTCAAAAGGCAAAATTTGAGCATTAGAAGCTTGTGATATGGCATCAAATTTCTCCAGTTGACTTAGCACAACTGTCTAAAGTACTCGTTAAGCTGTTATGGCCATAGAAATACAGATATACATAAGATGAAGGGTACATAAATTACTGCAAGAAAGCTATCAAGGTCATGCAACATGGGGAAAATGGACTGAAGGCATTTTCAGCACAGTCATCCGATACTTGCAGATATTAATTTGATAAACCTTTAAGTCCCTATTCTAACACACTTTGTTCAGATCAAAGTTCCCAGAGAGAAAATTGTTTTTAACTCAATTCTTTTTCAAACTTACCTTTTCGTCTTAGAACATCAAATGCTACCAAAATGTTCCTAATTTCAAAATTTACTCAACGAACATTAGAAAACTATCCTATGTCCAGAAATGCACACAACAACAATTCCAGTATCTAACAATCAACAAGTATAATGAAAAATCAGCATAAAACTTAGAAATTTAACTTAATCACTAGAAATACAAGGATACAAACCTTGAAACCTCTGTAAACAAGACCCTTTTGATACAATTGAGCAAACCCCCACCACACACTCTCCATGAAATTCAAATCCATGGTCTTATAATCGTTTTTGAAATCGATCCACCTTCCCACTCTTACCACAGTTTTCTCCCACTCACCAACATACCTCTGCACAATTCCCCTACACTCTTCGTTATAGTTCCCAATTCCCATCTTAAGAACATCCTCTCTGCTCTTAATCCCCAATTTCTGATCAATTTCATGCTCCACAGGCAAACCGTGGCAATCCCATCCGAACCTACGGGTCACGTGATGCCCAGTCATGGACTGATACCGTGTCACGATGTCTTTGATAGTTCCGGCCAAAATATGGCCGTAGTGAGGCAGGCCAGTGGCGAAGGGCGGACCATCGTAGAAGATGTACTCCGGTAAATCTTTGGTGCGTTCTAGCTGAGTTTTGAAGGCGTCGACTTTGTCCCACCACGACAAGATCTTTTCTTCCTGATCCGGAAATGAGAAATCCTTGCCCTCGCAAACGTCCTCCATTACGATGACGACCGCCGCCGCAACGCCGCCGGAGAGAATTGCTTAGGGTTTTGGAGTGAGCAGAGGAAAGAAATGTGGAATTACGCTACAGCAGAACTTGCAGAATCTGCTTAACTTTCCTTTTTAACACTAAATGGGCTTAGGCCCAATTTCAGTCACAGGCCCATTAAGTAATCTAAGGCCCAATCCATAAATATAGACCACTTCAGTTTTACTAGGAACAAACAGTTGCAATGGCGGGAAGGTTGGGATGGGACTCCACATTCAAAACGAAATCTGTCGCTGACGTAATGATCTGCTTCTCGTGCATTTATGGAGGTCAAGAATAGAGAATCCTCTGATTCCTGCTGTACGCAATGCTACGGTATGTGTTCTACAAGGTTAATTGTTTTTTATTTTATGTTCGAGATTCATTCCTGGTCTTGCGATGTGTCGATTAGGGCTAATGTCGATAGCAAAGTGCGAATAGATCATTAAATTGTGGTTCCTGTAGCTTTAATCTGCCTGTTCTCCAATTCTGCAGTGTTCGCCTTACAGCACATATGAATTCCTCTAAAATGTCGTCGATTAACATTTACACTGCAATCTTTAAGGCTAACATTAAAGCTCTTCTTTTCATAAGTTAAATAAGTCACAAGAAAGCCATTGTTTTTGGTCACAGTCTGAGCATTGCACGGAGAAATCATACATAGGGAGCATTAGCTTTTGAACTTACCCTATTTCTGTGATGAATAAACTGATTTGTTCATATGATTACGCGCATCGATGCAATCACGGCTTCATATCCGCTTCGAGCATGTCCAGGATGCCGCTGCATTTCCTCAACAAAGACTTTGCTTGCTCGTTCTTTTCAATTTCGATCAGTTCTCGAAGCTCTGTTGTAAATCCTAGTTGTGCCGGATTGGAAGGCGGAGCAGCACTGTACTGATTTGTTAACTCTAGAAGACACTCTGCTGCAGCGACATGAACCTGAGATCGATCCGATCCAAGAAAAGAAATAAATTACTCTGAGCTGTAGTTACACATTGACTATAACTCAAACATCGCAGCAACATTTTCGGGAGAGTTCAACCTACCTGCCCTATTTTAATTGTGCGAAGGGACTTCAGCAGTTCCGGCGAGAGTGTAAGAAATAGCTGAGTATTCATTAACAACTCACAGTATCAGAATCCAGAATGGAGATTCAAGGCGCGACTAAACAATTGTGCTCCCGAATGTTACCTCATGAATAGAAGTCATCGTGTTGGTCTCCGAGGGACTATCTTTCGAGTCAGTAATGCTTGTATGCAACTTTGAGCAAAGCTCTTTGACAGAAGAGAACACTGCCATTTTAACTGTCCAAAATATGAAAGTTATGCGGCGTCATTATGGAGCCAAGCCGAGTAAATTGGGGACAATTGTGAAATCAGAAGTGAGCATACCGTGCCAGGGGAAGCTTGGGGAGAGAGAATGTATATAGAAATCGAGGATGCTCTTCCGTTGCTGAAGAACATCATCGATTCGGGCAACATGGATGCAGGCAGTGACACAGCTTAATATCTTCTCTTGTAAAGCGGCCGGTGTGCTCTCCTCCTCGTCTGTGTAAGTGAAAAGAAAGTATCATTAGATCGATTTCGGAGGCTGTGAACTATAATTACAACACAACTTACAGAGTAGCAACGATTTAACAAATCATACAAAATGGAAAAGTCGATGCACGTTACAAGAGGATGATTGATTCGACGAGCTAAGGATTTGTGGAGTACCTGTTTTTTTGTCACTCTGACCCGACTTGGTTTGGCCGGCGAGTGAATTCCCCATCTCCAACAGAGATGGAAACACCGTGTTAAAGAACTCCGGTTTGTTGAATGCTTTAATGACCTAAAAACCGGAGCAATAAAGTTTCAGCCATGTAAATACATCAAAAAAAGTAATGAAAAGATTGTTAAGTAAGGTAATGTCTTTGAAATAAACATCCAACCAGCATCACATTCCGAGAACTCGTAAGTAAGTGCTGTTAGGAATGAATACATCAATAAGAAATACTGAGAGGCAGAATATACCTGCTCAAGACACGAAAAAGCTGTTTCACGATATTTTTGTGCTTTCTTTGTGCACGCAGAAGATATTAGGCTCAATATAGCATTCGGAGCATCGGGATTGGATGCAGAAATCGCCTCATGGCATGACGTAGAAAGGGCAGACAATGCATTTAGTAGCTCTTCCTTCCCCTATCACATACATCAAAGCTATTAGTTTGTTAAATGAAACTATATGTCGTAAAATGCAAGCAAAAGTTGGTAGATTCATGGAGATATAGAACAACTACAAAAGACAACTGTTAGCGCAACATGGCATCAGTCGAAACAGATGAGACCTAACAAATGGATATAGCATGCCATAAAGGAGGGAACCAATCCATGTTCGGGTGTGTTTGTTTAAAGGTTTAGATTTTGAGTTGCAATTTGAATAGTAAAAATTTTGAATTGGAATAGTTGAATAGGTGTTACATGAGATATTTTGAATGTAAAATTAATTTTTAGTATAATATAAAAAATGAAAAATAGGTATTTAATTGGATATTTTTTGGAGGAAAAAAATTTAATGAATAGTAAGCAAAAGAATCAATAATTTGGATGTAGGGTTAAATTGACATTGCAGTAGGAATCAATCCCGGAAGAAGATGTGTTTTTGGATGTAAAGATTTATTTGGATAATAATTTGTTGTGTAATTGATAATTTACGACAATCATTTGTGTGAGATGCAACAACCGATCAAGCACTGCAAAATACATATATAAAAAGAACAAAATCGTAATGGTTACCTCCCATAGACGCCCAGGAAGTTCTTTCATAAGAGAAGTGAGCAAAAGACTATGATGTGAAGATAGTGACTCGCCGAGGACTTCGCTAAGCTTACATATTGCTTTTGATGCCTGCACGATCGACAAAATCACATTTCAACTATTCAAGGATTTCACAAAGAAGAAGTGACACTTAAGTGAAAGTAAAGGAAACTTTTTATTTTTGGGGAAGATAGTTTCCATGCTGCTAATCCAACAATTGCGATCAACTAAAAATAAATCGAGATCTTCACAAGATAGCATAATATGACAATAAATTAGCTGAACAGATAAAATTATATATCGAGATATTATATTAAAAAATAAATAAATGTAACAGATGATTAAACATGCCTTCTTTTTACTAGCCCATGAGGACGACACAATTCCATTATTGATAAGAGCAACAATTTCTTCCAAGTAAAGTTGAAGAGTTATTCGTTCACTGCTCATGTTTTCTTCAAATAATTCCTCATACAGACTCGAAATCATCTTGTCATCTTCAAATCTGCAGAATAGCAAGTATGATTGTCTTGTATTAAGTATGCTCTCTAAATAAGACAAATGAACAATGAAACATGCCATATGCTGTCACTACAGGAGTATCAATTCATAGCGCAGAAAATGGAAGTGATATTTCAAGAATGTCAATGTTCTCTGTATTTTAGTTTTATTTTTAAAATACTAACACTGCCTAAAATTCCAAGTATCTTTACCATGTAGTATAACTTTCTAAAGAACTCCAAAATGAAAAATAAAAGATGCATTATTTCTAAAAGTCAAATTACATGCAAGAAAGAACTAATGGTATCAATTGCAAAAAGAGTGATTCACATTATCGTAGAAATGGGCATAGTAACACCTTGACATACCTTGAAATGAAAATAACTGGAACTATAATAGCATGGTATCCATTTAATACATCAGGAGCTGTGGATGCATAGCTTTTTAATAGAATTGCGCACGCAATCTGATCATTCCTATCACCAGAATGTAAATTTGCAGTATCTTCAATCAATTTCTGGGCCTGTGATGGAGTGGCATACTTCAAAACAATAGCACATGCATTTGCAAATGCACGCTTCGATGAAGCACTTCTTTCATCCTTCACAACTGGAAGTAAAAGCTTCAAAAGCATATTCGTGAATGGTTTGATCCCAACACCAACTTTTTGTACAAGCAAACAGATGAAGTTTGCAACACCAACCCTGTTATGTTAATTTACAAATTAGATAAGTAGATATGAATCTCTCATATGACAGTTAATGAATACAAGCAGACAGTTATAGCTGGTGATAGTATGTCCCTGATGGAATATACTATTGAGTCAGACATCAAAATAAAACATAACTGACAATGTTAGGACAATTGTCAATCTTAGGACAATCTGACAATAATAACTATGAGGTTTGGAATGTCCAATGCATATGAACATAAAACTCACAAATACAAAGCCCCCATGGATGTTGAACTCAGAGATAAACAAGCTTTGCCTCTTCATTCCCCAGAGGGCACATGGAATTCCAACTATGCTAAGCGCGGTGATAAAGAAATGTTGAGTTATCTATTTGGCTGTAGCTCTATTTTCTATTAAACACTGTCGATATAAAATCTAGTTCTCATCCCCACCCCCCAAAAAATAAATAAATAATGCACACACATTAAATTCTAAATGAAGAAACGGGAACCACTGAAAATTGTTTCATTCATTCCAATTGCAGTAAGAGGAAGCATGATACACAGAGAAAAGTTCAAGTGAATGAGCAAAAACTGAATACCAGGTTCTGGAAACTTAAACGAATGAGTTTTAAGAATTAATAGTTAGTAGGATACCTGGTGTTCAATCCAATGCCTGATCTCACCAACTGGGTGAGACGAGGAACCAAAACATCTAGAGAATGAGAGTCAACAGCATCTATGCACAGTTCAAGTGTTTCCCACATTGGAGATCCTTTAGCAATTGAAATTCGCAAGTTCTCAAGCTTTTCAGTTTGTATTCCCACATTCTCCGCATGCAACTAGTTGACAGAAGAAACAACCCCATCATGAAAACATACTGGTACAGAAACTTAGTAAATTGACACAATTTAATGCTACCTAGAATACAACTGCAATCATCTAAAGGACAGAACATTAAAAATAATGGAGATAGTAATTTAGTTCATATAGTCACAACGTTAAAGGTCATCAGACCTCAACATAATTCATTCCTTGGTCTTCAAGGCTTGAAAGACTTTCCAGCATGCAACAGACAAGATCACTTAAGTATGGACGAATAGCAACCCCAGCACCCTACAAATATGGATGAAAAGAATATCAAGACAGTTGTAGAAAGGAAAATATCTGAAACTTGATCAATACAATTATGTCAACAAAATTCATTGTGGCCTAAAAGGGAGATATCTAGACATCATAAAAATATGTTGGAAGCACTAAATTAGGGAGACAAGGATGATCAGGTTGTTTAAATAAAGACATGCTTGGAATTCTTAAATAAAGGAGTTGATCCGTAAAACATGTAAATGATGTCAAACGGATTCAGTTAACTATGAGCTGGCAATTATTGTAAATGTTTTACGTTTATTGTCTTGCTCCTGAAATCTTCCCAGAATATACCTTAGCAAGTTTGGTGACCATGCCAATAGATGCCTTTCGAATATTTTCGACTTTACTCATTATACCATCTGTCAGCAGCAAGGGTAAAACAATAGCCATTGTCTCTCTTGCCTCTGGAACTGGTGTAAGAGAGACATCACAAAGCCTCACGGTTAATGATCCAACAGCTCGACATAGCCGATCACCCGCATTTCGAACGGTTTCCTTTATGTCATCCATAGCCCGAAAAGCAGCTGTCCATATTCTTACTAAATGCTTCTCAACCTAATACAGAGCAGCAGAAATAAGTCAATGAGAGTCATCATCACAAGATTTCCTTTCCAACATGGGACAGTCCAGAGATGATAGACGAACAAGAAGTTAGGCTATGATTACTATGTTAAGTTGCATATACATGCTTGAATTTACAAGAATTTTTTTCCAGGTAAATAGAGTACACACACAAATATGCTATAAAATGTGAACATTTTACGAACACAATGGTTCCAAATGTATGCACTCACTATTATCTTACACCAAATATGCAATAAATAAAGGTTGATGATTCTTAATAGTGTCTATATAATACAAATGTTTGACAGCATATCCGTCTCTGGAATTGCATAGCTGTAAGCTCATTTCTTAGAGTCCTCCATGAGGTGCATCTGTTTTGCGAGATGCGAGAACTAAATGAGAAATAAAACTTATAGAAAGTCCTGCTGGCAGAATATAGAACTTGATAATCTCCACCAGAGAAGGAAGGGATTTGAGAGGAGAGGGGAAAGAAGTCAAAGCAGAAGAAACTGTGATGAACTAAACAACAAGGAATTCAATAAATGGAGTTTAAAAGTATGTGCCCACCATAACCAAAAACATTGAAGCTATAAGTTGATAGTAGTTCAAGTGTATCTCAAGACGATCACCTGATTATATTTACGCCCTTGAAGTATGTCTGCTAGCGCAAGGCAAGAAGCCTCCCTGGACCGCCAAAGCCTAGACCCACATTGTGTCAAGAGATCATCAAATATGTTGTCCAAATTTTCATCAATGGCCTTCTTTGAATCAGCTATTAATGATTTCCAGATGTGGGACATTGCATCCTAATAAAATGCACAAAATCAATGTAACTGAATGGATAGGGAAATTCAATTGATTTACATAAATGGACCAAAATAAAAAAGTAAGCTCAAAAAATTTCTGGAGAAATGCCAGACAATCATATATTCAAGTAGAAGATTGAAAAACCAAACATTATATTCTGAAGCACAGAAGAAATTTTATACCTGTACATTTTTATCGGGATCATACTGATAGCGAAGAAGTCTTGGAATCAAGGCCTGCAGATAAGGTTGTAGGGCATCCCCTGCATGCTTTGCTATTTTTGAAAATCCAAAGGCAGCCCCTCTTTTTGAATTGAGGGAAGCCTGATAATTGGCTAAATCCATAAATTTGTAGATTAAGTCAGGTTGCCCCATCTCATTAGCGAGGCCACAAAGTTCCTTGTAAGTGCTCAGTTTCCCTCCACTAGGGCTCTCACCAAATTCACCCTCTCGAAACACTTCAGAGTCCTCAACCAACTAAGATTACATACAAAACAGAGTAAGCCAAAACACGGAAGAGGAAAATGTAGAAAGTCGATTAGTAGCATAAAAGTAAACCTGACCTTAACAGCCCTTTTCCTCTTCCCTGAGCCAGTTAGAGTTCCGACAAGTGCATTAACCAAGCCTTTTTTCATACCCTCATCACCAAGTTCATAAACAATACTAAGGCCCTGAGATGCTAACTCTTGTGTAAGTTCATTTTGCTCACCAATAAGGTGTGAGAATGCTTCCTGTACATTAGCAGAAGACAGATATTTTAGAAACTTAAGTTATAAATGGAGTTCCTCACAGAAATTCTTGTTCAGCCTTCCATATCCCAAGCCAAAACATGACAAAAGTTCTTGTTTGGTTCTAATCCAAGAGAATATGTATTTGCCAGCAAAGATGTCTGATTAACCAACATGTCCCAGAAAAAAAGATCAATGCAGCTCTATAACTATTGAAAGAAGTTACTTTCAAATCTATTAAAAGAAGAACAAAGCAAATAAGAAGCTGTCCATAATAAAACAATTAAGAACCAGAACATCAGTTCTACTTATGAATATAGCAAAAAGCCAAAAACACTAAAGCACTTAAAGAAGCATATCATTTGAATACCAGAAAACGAAGAAATGCAAATTCTACAACAACAGAAACTGAAAGAGACAAAATTCAAGTAATTATTATTAAAAAAAAGAGGATATAATACCAAATACTTGAAATTACACAGACTGAAATTTATAAGATTTTACAAACTGCATTGAAGCTAACATAACTGAGTTTGATTTTCTAATTCAATCAAGTTAATGTATGTTTTCCATCAAGAGCTCAAAAAACCGTGATATGCAAATCAATGTTTTTCACACCATCAGACAATCACACAAACACAAACCTGAATGTCTGGGAGCAATTTCTGGATGCTTGCATGACGACCACAATATATTGTGAGGGATAGCAACCAGACAGTTCCTGAGCAACGCTCCTCTTTTCTGTTACTATATAAAAGTTCATCAAAGAGCTTTCGATTAATAGCATCTCTAACAGTCACATGGTAACCCTCAACGTTTTGGAAGTCCATTGAGGGAAGACTTTGAAGAGAAGAGGATGTGTCTCCCATTAAAAAGTTTGAACTCATAGATAGGGAGGAATAATTAGTTCTGAGAATCAGCTCAGCAGTGACGGGAACACCTCCCCATAAAAATGAAAGAGCTTCTCCAGCAGCAAATAAGATATCTTCAACCTGTTTCAAAATGGAAAAATCAAATCCATTTTCCAAAAAAAATTTCATCCTAATCATCTTTCCCCTAATTAACTACAGATCACCCACCTTTGACCTGGAAAGGCTGAAGACCAGCTCAAGAGCAGTATTTAGATGTGAAGAAGATGTTTCTTTCACACACATGTGACCCAATGCAATCACAGTTTTTTGGACAGCTTTAATGTCCTCACTAGAGAGAAGCTTCTTGAATTTATCATCCAAGATGGTCCAGATGGAAGCTGAAGATATATGTATGTATATATGTGTTATATATATTTGGTTCACACAACTTTGCATCACTACAGAAGAAGCAAGTATTCACATGAAATGTTAGAAGTGAACTTTGTGCAACATTCACCTGCAGTAGAGTCCATGAGAAGCGGAGGCAGCGGGATGCAGATTCCAATGTGACCCAAGGCTTGCACTGCCACCGAAGCTAGTGCTGCGGTCTCTATATTAACGACATTGACCAAACATTTAAGAACACTTTGAAGTACTGACTCTGAGATCTGTAGGTAAGGATAGAGGCATAAGTAGAGAACACAATATAACAGCTCAGCCACTTAATTCTTCATGTAGTCTATAGATTTAGACTTGAACATAAATTAAGAGACAAAACCAAACCAAATAACTTCCACATGAAAATTGTCACTCATTGGAAATCTGTCGCATATGAATCTATTTCTTGTAGTTCAAATTTCCAGAAGGAAAAGATTGACAGTGTCCATAAACACTGAACTTGAGAATAGATATAAACACAAGATGACGACGATGATACAAAATTTAGAATTGAAGATGGAAAGTGGAAACTACATTTTCTTGTGCTCGCCAATGGTGATTGTCAATAATTTATATATCTTTAACTTATAAAAGTGATAAATTGCAGGATTTGTGATGAGAAAATTCATATTAATTGGATTGGGTTAGCTGCTATCTGTGTCTCATTATTAACCACCTCTCTAATCACTCTTTATCAGTAAGGAACAACTTACAGAAGGAGTTGTCAACACACAATTCGCTGTGACATATCCTAAAGCACATAGCAGCCCATGCTGCATTTCAAACCTAAGAACAAAAAATCAGTCATTCAATCAGATAGTGTTGAAATAACTAAATAGCTAATAGGAAAATCACATGTTAGGAACAACTCTAGAACCTCAATTTTTGTGCTCCACTAGTTGAAGATACTATTTCCCCAATAAGTTCAGATGAAGAAGTGATGGGAAGTGCTGATGAAGCAATTCCAAGCAAACGTGCCATAGATTCCCTTGTATCATAGTCCAAGTGACTCAGATATTGTTTGAGCCATTGAACTTTTTCAGAATAGCGAGAGGCTAAAACCTATATACAGGACAAAAGATGGAAATAATCAGAGAACACAATTCTAGCTTTCTATGAAATCCAATCCCCCCAAGAGGATAAAGATGTATTGAAAGACAAACAATATGCTTCTCTTCCACAGGCAGCATTAAATCTACCTGAGGAAAATATGATCCCAAAGTTATTAGTGCCTTGGAAGCTGAGGCATGCAACTGAATAGAACCTTCATGTGTCATGGCATTTTCCAACAGCAAACACAACCGTTCCACAGTGTGTAAAACTCCGGAGTCTTCAGCTAAATTAATCTGTGCAGCATCAGCTGCCAAGCACTTCATCAAAAACTTAATCATAGCCACATATGTATTAGATGGAAAAAGTAGTTTCACATCTCCTGTCCCAATAGAATCTAAGAGGGCTGGTTGCTGCTCTAAAATATAAGCCAGCATCTCAGATAGTCTTGGGTAATCTGTAGAAATACTTTGCAGCACAGTCTTCCTCTGCGCCTCACCAGGAAATAAACCTTCCAGTGCCATCTCTCTGCATATAAACAAAGCTGTAATTGTGTAATAGATCATCTGGACCTTCACATAGCAGAAGTGTCTAAAGCTCTTCTTATAAGCATGCTTGCTAGCACTCATGTGAAGCAGCTTCTTCTTGCATTTGGATTATAAAAAATAAAAAAATAAAAAAATAAAAAATAAAAAAAAAAACTGCTTGGTGAATTTCAGGCTTCATTTCTATAGGAATACCCAACTCGGGGAAACAAGAACAGAAAGTATAGTGAACAGGAGAACGCCAATAATGTCGATAGATATCATTCTGGTTGTTAAGATTTTGAAGATAGATGCACAGAACACAGGAAAAATGCATCCTATGAATATTTCGCATCAAATGTTCAGCAATTAATAGCTAAAAAGAAAATTGCCCATTTTTTTTGTATTGATGCCAATTAAAGTATTTCTCTTAAAATTATCATAACACTTACACTGGTTGATAGGCTTGTGTTCAAGCCTCATTTATTTTCTTTAGAAGAATGAAAGAATTTATTATAAAAATAACATAACCGTAGAGTACGAGAGAAGAAAGGAAATGAGACAAAAGAAAATAAATGCCGAGAGAGCCAAACAAAAAGAAGCTTCGAGCCCTCTAACTAAAGCCAGAGCTAATATCTTAACCACCCTAAATCCTCGTTTATAATATAGTCAACAGTTCAAGGATGGATTGTTTTAGCTAACCTTATGTCCAATTTAGAATCTGCAGCTCCAAGCATACAAATAAACCTGCTTGGACAATGCTTCAAACTAAATAATATAGTAGCCCATCTCACAGCACAGAAGCGTACTTCACTTTGTTCCTTGTAAGCAAGAGGATAAGTACAATGTTATGCTTTCAAAATTTAAGCAAGTTCAGGGCACAATGATCCATCATATCCAATTCAACCACATAGACAAAACCAACTAAAAGGAAGATAATATAGATAAGACAAGTGAGCATAATCATACCACTTGAGAATTTTGCAATAGTAACAACTCCACATTCTTTAACACCTCTGACGGTGCATCCTGAGACCCAGAGCAACCATAATCAAATGAGCTGTTGAAATGAAGAGAACTGTTAGGTGAAACAAACGAGTGGATACCTTGTATGCAACAGCAAGAGAATTTGTGGCCTCCTGAATAGTTGGGCGGATATACTGTTCCTCAAACTTCAGAGCATCAAAGAGTCGAACAGCAACATCAATTTTATCCCTAGAAAGATGCAGGCCAATACACATCACTAAATTAACAAAAAGGCTGAATAAGCAATATAGCACATGAGTCATAAGAATGTTACCTGAAGAGTTGAGGCATACGTTGAGCAAGTAATCCAATCGCTTGAAAACAAAAACTTCTAGTTGCCCGAGCTACAGTATCTGGATCAATGAGATGATGTGAATCAGGTTGTACGGAATGAAAATGATTAACAAAGAAACACCTATTGAAGATGCCATCACTGGGACAACAAGACAAACTTACCCGAACCCAATGAAAAATTATCTAGCATTCTCAGAATTCCCGTTAGTATAATAGGGGCCATAAGCTTCAACTGATCCATCCTAGCCTACACAGAAAATAAAATAAACATTGTAGAATAAGTTCTCAGAAATACACCCACTTTATCATGGAATCATGAATTATGTAGTCATGGATGTACAACATGGCTTCTTGAAAATTCAGAGAATGAAATTAATCAGTACAAGAAGAAACCCTAGCTGACTCATAATCATATCCTGCTCACAGGTACTAAAGGTGAAAAGTAAGGAGAATCCACCAACGTTGGAAGTATGACTGTATGATGGCATAATTAAATTATAAACTAAGAAGTAAGATCTTTACTTGACATTTTTGCTAATACTTTGTACTAATAAACAATCAATCCCAACAACTACTTCGCTTTAAAAATACCTTTGTTTAGTTAATAATCAGAACAGAAACAGAAAATATAACAATAACATAATACTAATATGACAATGCTAACTCAAAAGTGTCTTATATTATACATGCAAGACTTCACATGTCAGAAATCAAATTTGAGGATTTACAAACAGACAAAATCTGAATATAGTAGAATTGTTGAGAGATTGAATGAATCAACAAACAACACGACATAGTTTCTTTCGAGCCCGCAAGACACGAATTAATGCTATGATTCATTAAGTTAACAGCATTGCTACATCACAGGCAAATTTGTGTAGCTGCAAACCCAATATCCCATACCTCGAAGCATTAAATATTATATATTTATATGAGGAAAATTGCATTTAGCACAATAAATTAAATCAAATTACATGTTTGAAGACCCAAACTGCAAACTCCATTCCCAACTGCTTCAACCTAGCTGAGGCATCATTTCCTGGATAAAGCAATATAACAAGTATCAACATGGCTAGGCAATATAGTTGGGTGTATTTTTTGAGGGAAATTGAGAGATTGAATAGTGAAGTTTTTGATAAAAAACACAAAATAAGCAGTGTAACAGACCCACCATTTCAATGTATTAATTTGATGACATATGAAATACAAAAAAAGGCTATTTGCACTTCAACTTGGAATAATTATTTGCCAAAATATTAGAAAGTGTATAATACTCTGTTTGTATTTACATATATATTTGTGTTTACACAAAATTGCCCATATTATTTCTAGAGGTTCAGGTCAGCAGATAGGTGAGGCCAGGCAGACTCACCTCCCTTTGCATATCCCCAGTTATAGTTGCATAAAATGAATACTATATAAACACACACAAGGAATGCAACTTGTTATTTAGTTTTAAAAAGCACTAAGGGTGTGTTTACTTGTACAACTTTCCACCTGATTTTACTATTTCAACTTTTTTTTTACTCCAAAAACATCAAATTAAATACCTATTTTTTTATGTATTATATTAGACTAATAATTAATTGTACATTCAAAACATCACATCAATGCATATTTATATCACATCAAACAACTATTTCAATTCAAAATTTTACTATTTAAAACCAAAACCAAAAACTAAAATTTTACAAGGAAACACACCCTAAATGATCTTTATAATCAATATCAAACTATCCAGGAAAGGAACTTCTTCCTCAATGTATAACAACAAAAGTGAAATTTCCAACTTCCAGCCACTTCAACAAATAACAAGAAGCAAGATATTAACACGTACACATGTAAAAAGGAGCCCACCCAAATCGCATTATGTCATTGTATTTTAAGATTGTACTCTTCAAGAAAAATTTCAAAACAAAGGATACTAATATTATTATCAACTTTCTAGTTGATATACCATAGAGAAACATAATGGAACCAAAATATACAGCATCTCAAGTCTCAACAGTACCTAGAGTTATTTAAAGATGATAACACGTTAAGCAGGAACCAGAACTCTCTAGGTTTAGACAAATAACATCACATATAGGCTGAATATATCAAATCACCATTAAGGCATGTTGCACCAAGATTTGTCAATAAATATACAAAAAGAACATCACAAAAGCATATAAGTCTGTTTGCATATAAAAGATGACAATGCACTGAACCAGCACCAGAACTCTCTGAGTTAGCCTAGAGATTAAACATGCAAAAATTATTTAATAAAGATATAAAATCACACTGGAATGCCCTCTTTCTTGCTGCCATATTCATGCTTCAATCAGATTAACCCAGCAATCTCATCTTCTTAAAACCCTAGGAAGCACTAGGAAGTTTATGGTTTTTAAATACAATTTTAGTAAAGGAAGAGGTAGAGGAGAGAGGGGTTAAATAAGAAAAGCATCACCTTATTCCATTCAAGAGCTCAAAAATCCATTTCAGTTGTCAAGTGAAGAGAATATTCAGAACATATCACAAAGTCCAACATATTTTAAAATAAAAATAAACAAATAAACAGCAATAAAAGATAATATTGGATTATTAAAAATACACAAAAATCCGTTGTATACAAATCATTGAGATCAGTAGAAACTTAAGAAAATGCACCCAAACTCAATTACACATTTAATACTCAAGAAGTGGAACCTTCATCCATGAAGGAGGTGAACACAAAAATCAGATTATTCTTGCTGATATACATAGAGAACTGTTACTACTTTAATGCAAGAAAAACCATCACAATATTTACTGAAATCAAAGAGTTTTCAACTAACCAAATATGCATCCAAAAATGCACTGTAATGTTGATGGGAAACTGTTAGCTGCTGCAATTGACCGGAGAAAAGTAGACATCAGTCTCACTCTAAGAGCTAGATTCCCTGGATTGACTTTGGATTCCAGAGGAACATTTTCGGATGCAGATGTTCCTGTATGTCATGAAACAAAGCCACAACTATAAATTAATTTTACATTGCAATATCAAGTATAGACCAAATGAAACAGAACATTCAAATATGCCGCTCAATATTTTCTCCACAAGAAGGTTAGTTACACTTCGAACTTGATTTTTCCAAATCAGAAACTTGAATGTTCGCCATCCAATAGAATCAGCTTGCACTTTTCATACCATTAAATAATAGAAACAGTCTGAGAATCAAATTTGGATCCTCTAAGTTCACACCAGAAGTGTTCTTCTTCAAGAGCTCCTCCCCCTTTTTTATTACAGATTCATGACTGGCACAGCAGAAAACCCAACATACACCATCAACATAAAAGAAGCTAAAAGATTCATTTGGAGTTAATAGTTCATAGAGCCTAATCAAATCTATACCTATCTGCACAGGCAGCAATATAGATAGGATAAACAAGTTCAGAAGGAAGCTCCAAGCCTTCAATGATGTTCAACATCCCTGTCTAGATGAGACATTAGCAAGATATGTTCCTGTTAATAGGCATGCGCATTCTAATATTCAGCAATGTAAATAAAACAATAGTTTGAATCAATCTATATTACCTTTCTATCCCGTAGCATATCACTTTTCAGTGGCTGTTTTCCAATAACACGTTTGACTTGCACAGCTGAAAGCCCACCCACTTGTCCTCCACTGCAAAGCAGAATTCATCCTTAGTTTTTAAGCTGAATATTTATTTGTTGCTTCAATTATTATATGAACATGCACTTAGCAATATACATCTGATCATAATCTAACCTTTGAGAGGATGGCTGGTACAAAATTGTGTGAAGACAAAATTCAAGAAATACCTCACAGTCCTTAGAACCAACTAATATCTTATATTTTTCCATCACATCATCACTGACATGTGATGTATGGCACTCTCCAATTACCTAAAACCAAGACAGCCACACAAGTCAGTAAACAAAAACACAAAATTAAAGGCAACTAGTATCAATGACCTAAAAAACCTTCTGGGACATGGTGTTTTCAGGAAAAAAAAAAGTAAAAACCATTAATGCATTCTAGTTTTAAAAATTCCTTGTTGATGGATTAATCTATTAATAATAAAAATAATTAAAAAATCAACAGCATATCATTCTTTTTTCTTTTTTGTTAAATGAATCAATCGCCATATCATGAAGTATGAAGATCACTCAAATGAACAATGGATTTAACAAATATAATCACAAGCTCGTGTATGAACCTAAGTTAATAATAATTATTACAACCTCCAGGAAAGCTGTACCTAAAGAGTTCGATGCCTGGTCCCAACTAAACAACCTCTCTTTCTCCATGGCCACAAATCCTCTTTTATCTTTTTTCGGCACATTACATAATATGTATTCCACTAGAAGGAATTTTAGGCTAAACATAAATAAATACAATAAATGAAACAAAAAGTGTTTGTTCTTTTTGTGTTATGGGATTTTGGGGAGTTTTGAAATATAAGTTGGATATGATTTTTTGTATTGAAAATCGGTGTTATTGCGTTAGATGTAATGTTTTTGGAGAGGAATCATAGTAAAAATATATACATATATACTGAGATGTTAAAAACAAAGCCAAAGGCTCTTTGTCAAAATAAACTCATTAATTCCCTGATAAACAGAATTTATGCACAATCAATCTCAAGGGTTTCTTGGGAGATAGAACTCTATTAAGGTTAGTAAGAAAATGTATCCAAATTTGCCCCACAAAATACATCTCTAGCAACGTTGAAAAGCACCCAGTGAAACATGAAATTTGTAATTCAGTCACTCCCATAAACTAGTTTACAATATCTCAAGAAATAACACCCTAATTAGCTATATTGTTCCAATCTCTTGTTGAAGTAAATTCTCTTTAAGATCTTAGCAAGCCTCAGGCAATTGAGAAAATAATAATTATAATAATAACAAAAAAAGAATATATCATTCAAATTAGTTTACACATCACGTGCTCATGGTTGTCCTAGGTTGATATGATGTTAAAGATGCAGGGAACACCTAGGGTGTGTTCTTTTATCAAACTTTACTAAATTTCTACTATTCATAAAAAATTTTCCCCCAAAACATCATATTAAGTACCTATTTTTCATTTTTTATATTATACTAAAAATAAATTTTACATTCAAAACATTGCATCAATAGCTATTTATATCGTACAATACAACTATTCAAATTAAAAAATTTTACTATTCAAATCCCAAACCAAAAGGCAAACCCCCAAACAAACACACCCCTAGTGGTAAGCACAGAATCTGTTACATGAAGGCTACATTGATCTGTTTCAACTTATATTTTACAAAGATTGTAACTGAGGCTATTCTTCTTACATTTATTGGAAGTACTTGAGCCAAAGATGCATAATCTGTTCTCATGACTTTTGAAAAAATGTAAATACATTTAAATTAATAACAGCATGTATTGATGGTCAACAACCATCAAGCGGCTCTACCCTATCTTTTGAATCTCAGTACATGATTGCAAATATCATAGAGAGTGATATAGTAACAACTCAAAACTCAAAAGAACGAGTATCTCCAACTGAAAATTTAAAGAATACCTTCCCTACTATTCCAAGTAATATGTCCTGATGCTGCAGAGACAGCTTTGAAATGTTGACTAAAAGTACAGGAGCCATCAATTGTCTTTCCTGCACGTCAACCAATGATGAATGAAGATAAAAATATCTATAATTACCTAAAAATGCAACTTCTATACAATTGAGAATTGAAGTGCATCAACAGTTCCCCAAATCACAATATTACAATAGCATTGTAATTGATTTTCATGATATATTTTATATGGTCGGATTGCATTTGGATTGTTTCCCTCAGTTCTTTCTAGTTCTAGTATTCAATATATATATATGCATAGTTTTTGTAGCTTCAAATTACTATAGAAAATATTATACACCTTTCATTTATTTTTCCCTAAGTGAAGAACAAATAGTTGAACCAAATACTTCCATCATCCTTCTAGGCCTTTCTTGGCATATCCATAAATTTAATAATAACAAACACCCACCTCCTTATGCAAACGATCAATTGCCATCTCAATGTAAATGATGCAAAAGTTTCTGACCATAGGATCAGAACTAGATTCGACATACAACTTCCACAGATCAGACAACGGTAGACCGATCTCGGGCTGGTGCTTCACTCTCTTGTTCACATGGCTCAAGAGTTCAAGAACCTAGCATATTAATAAAAAAGTTACATCCATCACCTACACAAGCGGAAATTATTCAAGATGTATAATTATAAATATTGAAAAACGACTAGAATCTGAACAACTATAAAGGTCCTCTCAACCCCAAATTCACATAAACTTCTACCGAAGGAAAAGTAAATACTATTTATAACAAGATGCCAAAATGGGGCTCTTTGTAGCACGTTGGCTACATAGTCGAGAAAGAGCAGTAACATCCTCAAATACCAGTAAAAAACTTCACCTCAAAAGAAAATTTCTATGTGGCAGGACCAAAATTAGTCGAAAATCTTGAGGAAAGACATAAGAGCCTCTTTACTTTCTATCAACCTCCGATACATATTTACCCTAAAAAATTTTAATAGAAACCAATTGCTCCAGCTAATTTAGAGAATCGGCAGCAATCCTTCTTGTACCCACTTTTCAATTCCAAAAGACCACTCAATACAATCTCTGTCCGGCGATTCCCAGAGATACTTTAACACAATTAAGAAAAATGACAAAATTTTCGACACCGAAATGCTGTTCGAACACAACACGAAAACTTAAGTGAGAGTTCGTATCAAACAATTCAAAGTAGAATCCAAAGCCTGCCTCAACTTCGATTCAAGTTCCAGAAATTCTCCCAAAGTCTATACGTTAACAGCGCCAAGAAAATAGCTAAATTAAATAAGAATATGTCGAATTACTTTATTCCGAAGAGAGGTAGATGCAGAGGCGAGTGCAGCGATGGCAAGAGGAAGGACCCTGGTGAGCAAGTCTTGGAGCTTGGAGTCGTCGCAAAGTGCCAATCGCGTCAGCATTCTGTCCAGAAGTTCCTCCTTTTCTTCATCGGACTTACCGGAGAGTAACGCCGACCACGCAGCAGGCACCGAGGACTCCGCCATTTCCCAACGTCGTATGTTGTTCAATGTTCAGGCAATGTCGGGTTTCTTGAGAAGAAAGAATAGATGGATTTCCAAGAACTCTATCAAGACGATTCCTTTTATAGTTTCAGGGGTTGGGTTTGTTTGACATTTCGCACGGAGGTAACATTACAGTATTTATTATATTAAAAATTAGAGCAAATTTCCTTTTTTTTATTTTTTTTTTTTTTTAACATTCAATATCATAATTATTAAATTTATTTATTTTGAAATTTTTATATTAATTTTAATCTTGCTTAAATAAAAATTTATCAATTGTCTATTTTCATCATCATATTCTCAGTATATCTATGTTCACAATTCTGTTATGAACATAGTCATATTTTAGTCATGTTCCCTATGTTTTCAATATAATTATATTATATTGCAGGTCATATTCATTAGTATTATTTTTATTCTTTTTTTAAATAATTTGATATATATTTATAATTTAACAAAATATTTTGTATAATTATTTTTAAAATATTAAAAATTAATTATTTTTTATATTATAAAATAATTGTAAAAAAATTATAAAAATAATAATATATTTATAAATTTGTTCAATAATCATAACTATATATATTTTCCATAATTTTTTGAAAAATTTTAAAATAAATTTAATTTATTAATTTAGAAATATAATATATAAAATAATTAATTCAAAATAATATTTTAAAATTTTTACTATAAATTTTTAAAAATATATGTAATTATGAATATTAAAAGGGAAAAAATCATTTTTATCTCAATATAACCAAAATTTATCAATTTTTGTCTCAATATAAAAATCTTATCAATTTTGGTCTCAATATAACCAAAACTACCATTTTTTGTCCCAATATAAAATTTTTATCAATTTTAGTCCCAATATAACCAAAACTCATCATTTTTTGTCTCAATATAATTAAATTTTATCTTTTTTGGTGCCACCGTCAACAAACCGACGGAAAATGCTGCAAGATTGTGCAATTTCTTCAAATATAAATATAAGGTTTGATTTCTTTTCACGTCAGTGTTAGAAATTTTGGGGGAAAATAACGAGATTGTCTACAGAAGAGACTCGATAGACTCAAATCTAAGTAATCTAATTTATGAATAAAATCAAATCTAAATCTAAATCTACTAAATCTAAAATCGAATATCTAAAATATCTCAACATCCCCCTCAAACTCAAGTGGTATAACATAAACCAACTTGAATTTGATAAAAAAATTTGAATATAAACGCAAAAAAAAAAAAAATAAATAAAAATAATAGTTCACTTTCCATTAGAACCGGAAACGAGATAACTTTCCACCCGGAGCAAAAAACGAGATGACTCTACCAGAGCCGAAAATGAGATGACTCCACCAGAGTCGAAAATGAGATGACTCCACCGGAAACGAAAATGAGATGACTCTCCACCGGAGCGAGATGACTCTCCACATGAGCAAAAAACGAGATGACTCCACCGGAGCCGAAAACAAGATGACTCCACCATTGCCGAAAATAAGATGACTCCACCGGAGCCAAAAAAACGAGATGACTCTACTGGAGCCTAAAACGACATGGCTCCACTGAAGTCGAAAATGACATGACTCTACCGGAGCCGAAAATCATATGACTCCACCGGAGCCGAAAACCACATGACTCCACCGGAGCAAAAAACGAGATGACTCAACTGGAGCAGAAAACGAGATGACTCCACCAGAGCAGAAAACGAGATGACTCAACCGGAGCCGAAAACGACATGACTCCACTGGAGCCGAAAACAACATGACTCCACCGGAGCCGAAAATGACACGACTCCACTTCAGCCGAAAACGAGATGACTCCACCGGAGCCGAAAACGAGATGACTCCACCGGAGTCGAAAACGAGATGGCTCTCCACCGGAGTCGAAAACCATATGACCACCAGAGCCGAAAACAGACAAATCGCAAACATCGGACATATCAGATCTCACGCAAGCAACAGACAAACAACGGACAGATGACAGATCGTAGACAGATTTTCGAAAACAAATAAGCAACGAAAGATGACATATCTTACGCAGGCAACAGACAGGCAACGACAAATGGAAGATCGCACGCATCAACAGACATGCAACGACAAATGACAGATCGCACGCAGCAACAGACAGACAAAGGACATATGGCAGATCGTTTCAAATCGCTCGCAGGCAACAGACAAGCAGCGAAGATTTCAGATTGCACACAGGCAACAGACAAGCAGCGGACAGATTTGCAAAAAGATAACTTGCAAAGGCATGATCTCAAAATCACAAGATCTCCGGGTACAATCAGGTTGAATGTACCCGGAGAAACACGGGTTGGTAGGCTATATCTACGGCGTGAGGAAAATAGACTCTGATACCATGTTACAAATTTTGGGGGGAAATAATGAGATTGTCTTATTGATCATCAAAATAAAGAGCCTATATATAGGTCATACAAAACAGACTCGATAGACTCAAATCTAAGTAATATAATCTATGAATAAAATCAAATTTAAATATAAATCTATTGAATTTAAAATCGAATATCTAAAATATCTCAACAGTCAGCATTTTCCGTTAGTTTATTGACAGTGTGTGACAAAAAAAATATAATGTTTGATTATATTGTGACAAAAAAAAAATAAAGTTTGATTATATTGGGACAAAAAAAAAAGTTTGATTATATTGGGACAAAAAATAATGAGTTTTGGCTGTATTGGGACTAAAATTGATAAAAAAATTTATATTTGGACAAAAAATGATGAGTTTTGGTTATATTGGGACCAAAATTGATAAAATTTTTATATTGGGGCCAAAATTGATGAATTTTGATTATATTATGACCAAAAATAATTTTTATATATTAATATATTGTTATTTTTATAATTTCTTTTACAATTATTTTTTAAAATATTAAAACATGATTATCTTTTATATTATGAAATAATTGTACAAAATATTTTTGTTGAATTATAAATATATACTCCTATTAAATAATTTTAACAAAGAAGTGAAAATAATATTAATCAATATGACCTACAATATATGACTATATTGAAAACATGTCTAAAATATGGTTGTGTTAAGAACAGGTCATGAACATAGCTGAGTTGAAACAGGGTTATGAACATTCACAGGAACATAGTTGTTTTGAGAACACGGGACGTGTTTAGAATATAGCCGTGAACAAGAGCATGAACACGGTCATTCAACACGGCCACGTTGAGCCCAACACGGCCGTGTTGGTTGTCCGGGACGCCCAATCACCCTTCTAACTCATCCAACACAACCGTATTTAAGAAAACACGGCCGTGTTTAGTCCCAATCAACCATCATGAGATTAAAATTGATAAATTTTCATTTGAGCGAAACCAAAATTGATAAAAATAAAAAAAAATCAATAGGACTAAAATTCATAATTATGATATTAAATGGTACAAAAATAATTTTTATTCTAAAAAAATTATATAAATATAAAGATATTTTTAATATTAAACATGACCTCCAGGCGAACGGAGGGAGTAATAATAAATAATAAATTTCATTTCGTAACAACCAATACTTAGAAGTAAAAAAGAAATCCCACCACAAATAACAACAATAAATTCAAATGAGCTGCAAAACATGGCCAAAAAACCACAGAATTAGATGCCACATTTTCATCATCATCGTCCCCTATGTCCCGAGGATGATCGAAATTGTACGGCACTATAGTCTCCGGCGCCGCATCGTCGCCGGACTGTGCTCCGACGGGTGCCGGCGAATCGTCGGGGCTCCACGGCAGGCCCTGCCCGTATGTCACATTGATCATCATCCTCTGCCCGCTCCGGCATTGCTCCCCGTCGTAGTCGCCGGAGAAGAAGTACGTGGTCCCGACTTTGCGAAGCTGCACCGGCACTGACACCGGGTGTGGCGCCGTTGAGGAAGGGTCGGCGGACGACCACTCGATGGTGTCGTTGTCGGCTGCGTCGGCGTCGTCGCAAAGTTTGTATATGGTGGAGTTGTAGGTCTGGACGACTGAATGATTGTTGTCTGTGTTAAAGACTGACGAGAAAAATAAAAATTAGTAATAACGAAATTTAAAGGATAAACTGTTATTTTTAGTCCCGGAATCTCTTATCATTTTAATCTCGTAATTGGAACTTGTCGCAAACTAGTCCCATAAGTAAAAATTTTCGTTGTTTTAGTCCTCCGGCGCTGGAGACGCCCGTGTGGCTCGCCGGAGGCTACGTGTCCGCAGGTATAGCTTGATTTTATTTTTTATTTTTTTTTATTTTGTTTATTTTTTAAATTTTTTTTAAAATTTATTTTTAATTTTATTTACCTTTTTATATTTTTTTATTTTGTCCAGTTGAAAATAAATTAAAAAATGAAAAAATGAAAAAAATAAATAAAAATCCACGTGTGTAGCTGATCTGGCGAGATACCTGGCGGACACGTGGCTTCCGGTGAGCCACGCGGGCGTCTCCGGCGTCGGAGGACTAAAACAACGAAAATTTTTCACTTATGAGACTAGTTTGCGACAGACTCCACTCACGAGACTAAAATGATAAGGGGTCTAGTTACGGGACTGAAAAAGCAGTTTACCCAAATTTAAATGGTAGGTGAGACAATAAATAAATAATTTTTTGTTTTTAAAAGAAAATATAAAAGATGCAATGACTAATGAGGATGTGACACACAGTTCATCTAGTATGATTTATCTTATCGGATCTAGTTTGTAAACAATTAGTTTCGATAGGAGATTTACTCAGAGCCAACTCAAAAAGAATAAATAAATAAATAAATAAAGGTTCTATTTATTTACTCTCTCCATTCAAAAATAAAAAATTAAAAAATTTTAAATGAAATTAAAGTGTAAACTTTTTTGAAAAAAAGTGAAATAAGATGTGCGATAGACGAAAATGACAATATGCACACAATACTTTAGAAAAAAAGAGTAGATGTTTTGGTCACGAAGATTAAAAATAATAATATTTTAATATTATTTGTGTATTTTTTTTGTTAGAGTATAATTAAAATTTTATAGAGTTAGTAATATAAATTTTAGAATAAAGTAAAATGCGCATAAAAAATACGTGAGATCCTTTAGTGACATTTATGTATTAGATGGAAAAATAATTGGTATAAATTTGAAGAAAATTGTACTTTCTTATTTAATATGGTATAAACATTTTTTTAGTGTGTTTGTTTGAAGGATTTTGGTGGATTTCCACTATTCATCCAATTTTTTCCCCCCAAAAATATCAAATCAAACATCTATTTTTCATTTTTTATATTATACTAAAAATCAATTTTACATTCAAAACATCACATCAAACCCTATTTATATCACATCATACAACTATTCAAATTCAAAATTTTTACTATTCAAATCCCAATTCAAAATCCAAAAGTAAACACATTTTTACTTACAAAATTGAGAGAGTAATATTTATTTTATATTTAAAATATTAAATTAAAACCTCAATATTGTGTTTATTTAATGGAGTATTATTCATCATAATTCCTTATATTAAATTTTATTTATATTGAGATTTTTGCTATTATGCAATTCTAGTTATCTTCGATCTATTCATATATTTTAATAATATATATATATATATATCTTTTTACAGAATATATTAAAAATATTTTTTTTTTTTAGATTTTGACACTATTTGTTAATTACTAGTAACTTTTTTTTTAAAAAAAAAAAAATTAGATCCAATAATTTTGTTTTATTTCACAACATATCATATTAAATACATTATTTATTTATTATTATTAGTTCTAAAGTTTTAGAAAACTTAAATAAATCGAGACTAAGCTTTAAGGAATGTGAGGTTGCTGGGGCAGGAAGATAGGGATCATATGATGAGAAAAGGAAATTAAGCAGACATATGGAAAGACAACAGGTGATAGAACATGAACATGTCGGAAAACTAAATACTCATTTTTTTATAATTATATTATAATAAATTAAATAAGTTGTGGTGGCAGTCAAAATCCATTTGTAGTATTTGAGGATTATTTTATTAGATAATTAACTAATTAATTAATTAATTAAATGAATAAATAAAGATGAATGAATTGATCAAATGGGCTGTTCTGTTCTGTTCTTGATCATCATTATATCATTAGACAATCATTGGCATCTAATCCCTATTTTATTTATGTTTTTTAATACTCCCTCTGTTTTAGAACTATAGTCGTGGTTCTGTTCTTTATATTATATTGGTAGTGGATAAAAAATAAATGGTAATTTTTTTTTTTTTACCTTTGTGAGTATATTAGGGTGTGTTTGTTTGGGGGTTTGGATTTTGAGTTGGGATTTGAATAGTAAAAATTTTGAATTTGAATAGTTGTATGATGTGATATAAATAGGTGTTGATGTGATATTTTGAATGTAAAATTAATTTTTAGTATAATATAAAAAATAAAAAATAGGTGTTTGATTTAATATTTTTTAGGGAAAAAAATGGGATGAATAGTGTAAATCCAATCCAATCCCCCAAACAAACACACCCTTAGTGTAAAAAGTAGTGACAATTGTGTAATAATAATGAAAAAGTAAAAGTAGTTTTATAATGATATGGTTATTTATGGAAATGAGACTATTGTTTTGGGACGGACCAAAATAGTAAACAAAACTATTGTATTGGGACGGAGGGAGTAACAATTTTGGTTTAAATTTCATATGAAAATAATATATAATGAGATATTTTATTAGAGAAAAAATTATATATTTTTTCGAAAATGCAAAATTTAAATAGTAGAAAGATGATACTCCCTCTGTCTATACATATTTCTATTTTGAGACGTCGAATTACAAAGTAACAATTTCATTAAATACTCTAGTTTTTCTACCAATACCCTTACTTTACATTGCATCGTTACTTTTATACCAAAAAGTAAAAGGTAAAAATGTCATTACACTACTTTTATCTACCTACTATAATAATAATACTATTATTTCTTAAACTCCACTCCTAAAGTAAATATATACTTATTATTTGGACGGAGGAAGTATTCTTTTACACAAAGAAACATAAATTTTGACAAAAAAAGGAAGGCTGTGTGAGTACAGAAAGAAAGAGGTGTGTCTAAGACTAGAAAATTTAATCACCAATACCAGGCGGTTGTAAACTGAAGTAGTAGATAACTAACTGTACGAAAAGGAGAGAGAAATAAAGAAAGATTTGGGTACGTTTTTTATGACAAATTTTTTCAAATTTTATTATTTTAATATAAAAAATATATATATATATTTTTTCGCAAAATATGATATCAAATATTATTTTAATATCAAATTCAAACCAACATTTTCATTATATATATATATATATAATACTAGTATCAGATCTCGGACAGCAATGGAATGCAAGAAATACTGATGAAATCAATTAAGGATGAATTAATCAGACATATATCATCCGTAGGAAGAATTGAATGCTCAGACATCATAAGCTAGCTACTAATTAACTAATTCCTGGATCGAACCAATATCATGAAGCATATCAGAGTGAGAGAGAGAGAGAGAGAGAGAGAGGAGGTTAATTAAGAAAGAATTACTGAGGAAATCGCCGAGGGAGAAGGTGTAGTTGGCCGCCCATGTCTGATAATCGAGTTTAGGGTTTTCGGACCACCCAAAGTCGTCTCCCACCGTGTAATTCCTGTACCCTTCCGCCACGCTCATCCCCAAAATTACACACAAACCTACCACTGCAACTATTGTCTTGTCTCCTCCCATTCTCTCTCTCTCCTTCTCTCTCTCTCTCTCTCTATATATATAAATATATATGTATATCTCTATCTCTTTTGATCTCTTCTTTTGTTGTTTCAAGTAACTGATGATCAGTACTATGCTCTGTTTCTCGCCCAATCATTTATAATAAGAGATAAACTCTCTCTCTCTCTCTCTCTCTCTATATATATATATATATATGTATATATAGAGTGACATGTGATGAATATATTCCAGCTAAGTGTATGTATATATATTGAATGATACAGCTTTTGCTTTTAGGTTTTTTTTTTTTTTTTTTGAATAATACAGCTTTGGTTGTTGTCTATATTTATTTGGTTACAAGTTAAAATTAATTTGAAATAATTAATTGATTTGACTTTTTTATACTCCGTTGGTTCCAAAAGAGCGTCTTATTGGGTGTTGGCAGGAAAATTAATAAATAGTAGTATTTAATTGAGAGTTTGTATAAAGTAGAATGTAAAATACTAAAATGTTTTACCTTTTGAATTATTTTAAAAAGTAAGTTAGAGTAATAATTATGGATAATTTGAAAAAGTAGGAATAATTTTATTATAAAATGGGGACCACAGTTACTAAATAAGAAAACATGACAATTGTTTTGGGAGGACGAAAATAAAAAAAATAAGACAACTCTTTTGAGACAGAAAGAGTATTATTGAGTGTGTTTATTTAAAAGGGGTTTGGGAAATTTTGGGTTTGGGTTTGAGTTAGAGTTTGGTTTTTATTTATGTTTCTTTAGATGAGTTTGAAAAAAACTTGGTTTGAATTTGGTATTAAAATAATATATAATTGGATGTTTTGTGAGAAAAAAAAATGTATTTTGAATTTTGTTATTTCTTTTCTGTTTATATTTTGTTGGGGTTCAGGGAGTTTTGATGTATATTGATTTGATGGATAATTAATAAAATAGTGTAAATATGTATTAAATTTAATTGATAAAATTTATATTATATGATTTGATTATAAATTTGCATTATACCCAATTTAAATTTTTATTTATTTATATTATAGAAAATTTTATTATTTACAAAAATAACTATATATTTTTTCCCCTATGGTAATAAATATTCAATTATATTTTTATTTAATTTTTTTTTTAAAAAAAAGGTAAAACCTGCCGGTTGCCCGCTGGACAACCCCAAATTTGGAGTTGAAGAAACACACCCACTATAATGTATTGTTTTTTTTAAAAATAATAATATATTTTTATTAAAAATTGTATCAATAAATAATATTAGAGAAAAAAAAAATTTTGGTCCAATATAACCAAAATTCATCAATTTTGGTTGCAATGTAAAAACTTTATCAATTTTGGTCTCAATATAACCAAAACTCATCATTTTTTGTTCAAATATAAAATTTTTATCAATTTTAGTCCCAATATAACCAAAACTTATCATTTTTTGTTCTAATATAATCAAACTTTTTTTTTTTCACCGTCAACAAACCTACGAAAAATATTGATAACAGAAGAGGACAAAGTAGGAGCATTTCGGGAGATCATTTTCCTAGAGCTCCATACTTTAGTGAAAAATTTTCTTGCAGTAATGCATCCCAAATGATGTTCAAAACTTGTCCGTACTCTAATACAGGAGATTCATACCAATGTTGGGAAGAGACACAAAATGAAAATAAATAAAGAAACTTTGGAGGACAGATGCCAGAGAATTCATTGCATCTCAGCGGGAAAAATGTTTTTAAAAGATTACACTGAAATCTCTGTTGTCAAAGTGCATGGAGAAATGCAGGATGTAGAATCAGCATCGTCTGGTTCCTCTCCAAATGAGAGTTGCATGTCATCTCCTTTTTCGTCGGTTCGTTGACGATGTGATCAAAAAAGATAATATTTGATTATATTGGGACAAAAAATAATAAGTTTTGGTTATATTGGGACTAAAATTGATAAAATTTTTATATTTGGACCAAAAATGATGAATTTTTGTTATATTAGGATAAAAAATGATGAGTTTTGGTTATATTTGAACCAAAATTGATAAGATTTTTATATTAGAACCAAAATTGATGAATTTTGGCTATACTGAGACAAAAATAATTTTTTCCCATAATATTAATTTTTATTTAAAATATTAAGAAAATACAAATCATTTTCTTTTTTAAGTGTTGGGAGAATTCAATTATTGCTTCTATTCCTTCGCTAGCTAGCTAGTTACTTCTGACTTCCAGGTACCTATAGTATTGTTTCACACAGGACACAGGGTGGTAAAAAAAATCGAACCGAACCGCCGAACCGTGGAACCGAACTGAATCGAATCGAATTTTTGGTTAACCGAGAAAATTCGGTTCAAATGCAAATACTCTATATTTGATATTTGCTCGGTTCGGTTCGGTTTCGGTTTTTGGTATTTTTTTCAGTTCGGTTTCGAATATATTTATGTTATTATTATTTAAAATTTATATTAATAATTATATTCGATTCAGTTTCGGTTCGGTTACAGTTCAGTTTCGGTTCGGATATTTGAAATATTTGCAAATATTTTGATTAAATTAGAATTTTAATTATTTTTTAATTTCAGTTCAGTTCGAATTATTTGCAAATATTGCAAATATTTTCGGTTCAAATACGATTCACGATTTCGAGTATTTGTTCGATTCGATTCGGATATCAAATACCTGCATATTTGCAAATATTCACCGTGCCCACCCCTAGTTTTACATTCCTAATTTTTTGCTATTATTATTATTAGAGATGTAATTAAATTTAATAATTTATTTACTTTTTATTATAGTATGATTTTAAATATTATTATTATTATTATTAGAGATGTAATTAAATTTAGTAATTTATGTACTTTTTATTATAGTATGATTTTAAATAGTATTTCCAAAAATATCAAGGATAAATTAATATGCATTTTGGCGGTGTTAGGGTCTATTCGTGATGTTGATGGTCGACCGTACAAAATTGAACAACTATTTATTAACTTTGATTTTGTTTGTTTATGATAGTATTTTAATTCGTACAACATAATATATATTTAATTAGTTTACTTTGTATTTAAAATGTAAGTAATATTTAGGCTTCGTTACCGACATTTCTTTTAGTCTTGGAGTTATGGAAGAATTTGATTTAAAATTTTTTTAATTGAAAAAAAAAATTGTATTTAAGTTGAAATATATTTATAGAAATTTTAAAGATATTTTGGATATATATATATTTATATTTTACATAAAAAGTAATTTAAACGAAAATGCTAAACAAACGCATTCATTCAACTCTATTATCTCAACGCTAATTCTCAGTTATGATTCCAAAAAATAAAATAAAATAAAATAAAATAAACAATATATCTTTTTTTACAAAAGTAAAAGAACATTTCATATATTCATTACAAAAAGTCAAATATTCAACTTAAAATAATATGTTTATATTTTTCACACAATTTCTCATACGTACACTACATACCATGTGAATGGAGCCATATTTTTCATTAAAAAACTTTTAATATCAAAATACGAGGGGTGTGCTTGGTTTGGGGTTTGTGTAGTTTGATTATTTTTATTTTTTATTTTTCATTAAAAAAAATTAATATCAAAATAGGACCGTTAATTATCCATAATTAAGCTAATAAACCTAGGTACGTCTGTAAGAAATATACACAATTACTACCTAAGAGAAGCAATTATCTAACCCCCGGAAAGGAAGTATACACCTGGTTGTCACCTATTCAAGTAATAATACAATTATGGATATTCTACCTGAATTGATTTTAAATTATTAGACCAATTTAAATATCAGTACCAAAATATTCAACCAATCTCACAATCACAAACATTATTCTCAAGAATAGAAAAATATTGATAATAATAATAAAAAAAAATTATAAAGAAAGTCAATAATCTTCAAAATACAAAACCAAAATATTATCATCTCTCAAACTGAAAAGTATCTATTCCATAATTAAATAGCAAAACTCAATAAAGAAAGATAAAATCATAGTTTGAAGGGAAATCTTTTCTATTGATTTGCTCATATGCGATCTATGAATCTGTCACTTTCCTGCTTCTGCGTTGCTTCTGACTGTTCTCTCTCTCTCCGTTTGTAACTCCCTGCATTTCTCTTTTAATTTTGCCTTAATTTTTTTTAGTAGTTGGACTTTTGAACTTTCAATTAAATTCCGATTTCAAAAGGGTAGAATTAGTCATGATCATGACTAACAAGGTAGTGCAACTCTGAATTTTTCTTTACTTTTCCTGCCAATTACGTCAAATTTGATATATGTTCTCTGCACACTGCAAATGAACAATACGCATATAAATTAGGTAGATACCAATCAAAATCAATCAAATATCGCGTATAATATGAATATTTAACGCATGTGATTTCTAACTATCGCAACACATGAACTAACAACTCGTGATATAGTCTCATACAACACATGCAGCAGTTCATTTCAACATATGACATACACTGGTACAACACATATAATTATAAACAAATAACACATGTCATTATTATAAAACCACACATGCTGTTTGTGTTGTTTTTATATTTTATGAGTGATGATTTGAAAAATCAGCACGATACTTATTTTTTCAAATCAGCACCGTAACATTCCCCGTAATGAAAATATCCACGTCGAAGATAAATAATGGTATGGGCTATTATTATTAATGGAAGATTTTTCTTTTTTTGGTTTTTTTTTTTTTTTTAAGTACATCATGTGAATATTGTGTTGGAATTAATTTTATATTTCATGTTATTTAAATTTAAATCTAATTATAAAAATATATGTAATTTAATAGTGATTAGATGTACATATTAGATTTTTTGGGATTATTTATTTTATTAAAAAAAAATATATAATATATATTACTTTCTCATGGAAAATTGCTTATGATAGGAACAATTGCATATATTTTGAAAATAACTTTTCTTTTATGTCTCTTGATAGGGACATTTACACATATAAATTTAATATGTTTTATTATATGATTAATTATTTTGATTGAATAAAAATATTGTTATTATTGGATTAAAGAACGAATGAAATTTATGCAAATTATTATTGTTATTGCTTATAATTGAGCACATTTTGATAATTTTGATCACCATAAAATGATTTTATGAGTAATTATTTATTTATTTATTATTATTATTTATTAATGTGAATTTGTAGATGGATTAAATTAATGGTAAATAAAATAAAATAATATATATATATATACAGTGTTAGTTTAATATTTTGATTTTCAAGATTTTTTTTTTTTTTTCATGTCAAATATAGAAATAGTATTGATAATATAAAGAATAATTTTTGTATACTATTTAATATCAATTTTTGTTTAGAATAAAAAATACTCCATAAATTTGTTGGGTCCCAACTAAAAATACATTTTTAACTATTTTAGTCTGTTTCACTCAAAAATTTAGTTTGAGTAATTATACACTAATATCATGATACTTTAATTTTTATTTAAATTATAAATATATAATTACACATTTAATTATTTTATACTAAAATCAAAATTAGAGGATAAAAATATCAAAAATTTTACAATTCCATTCACCAATAAAATATTACTTATATTACTCCATCCGTCCCACATACCATATTTACGTTGTCGTTTCTGTCCATCCCGCGTACCATGTCACTTTCATTTTTTGGAAAATGATTACACACTTTAATCTCATTTTAAGGTTTTTAATTTTTTTTAAAGTTTTAATTAAACTAATTAGTTATCTTAATCTTAATTTATAATTATTTATATTATAGGATAATTATTTTCACTAATACATTCTTAATTATCTATTAATTACACCCCTCCTAAAATGCTGTGTGTACAGTGCAGCAAACACGGTATGTGGGACGGAGGTAGTACTAAAAATCAATTTTACATTCAAAACATCACATCAACACCTATTTATATCATATCATACAACTATTCAAAATCAAAATTTTTACTATTAAAATCCGAACTCAAAATCCAAACCTCCAAACAAACACAATATAACTCCAAATGAACCGACCAAAGGAGTATATATATACATATATTGAAATCGTATCCTAAATAAAATCTTGGCAAACAAACCTCTAACTTAGGTCACTTTGAACCCATTACTTATTTTCAACCAATTATTTTATTTTTGTAGCAAATTTACAGTAATTTTATTTCAACTATAAATTTTATTTTTTTTACTCTAAAAAAAGTATATTATTTATATATTTCTTTTTTTATTATTATTTTATATTTATTAATTATACCACATTTTAGTTTATTTTTGCACTATCACCCGAATTCTATAAAAAATATTTTAAATAATTTTTTTCAAAACAAAAAATTACACATCATTTACAAAAAATTAAATTACATCTTATCTTTTTTTTTTCTTAAAAAAAAATATATATATCACTTCAAAAAAATTAAAAAAATAGATATTTTAAAAAAATTAAATATCATATTTCATAATATAAAATTATACAAAAAATAAAATTACACCATCCGCGAGTTAACCACATTATCAACTTTAAATACTAAAAATAATAATAAATATTTTACAATATTTTTATAATTTTTAATAATTAATAACAAAATTTCTCATAAATTTCAAATCAAAATAAACAAAATTAAATATTTAAAAAAATAACATACTAATATCCTTAATAATTAATTTTATGTATAAATAATAATATAAAACACTTTAATACAAACCACGAATTAAATCAGCTAATTAAATCAGCGAACTAATAGCTAAAAAAGTGTTAGTTCTAAAAAAGTATCAGCTAATCGTCAAAATCACCCAAAGCCTTCATTTCCGGAGCTAGAAATGAAGTTAGGTTGGCCCAAAATCATTACAAGCCACTGAACTTAGAATTCAAAATAAACTCCCACACCAACCCAGACTCAAACCGAACACCCGAACCTACCTGTTAAGTTTCTCGCGCCCGTCGCCGTCTCCGCTGCCGTCTTCGCCATCTTCAGCCGTCTTCCTGTGCCATCTTTCTCCCTTCGTCTGTTTTCGTTCAGATACATCCCCGCCCGTCGTCTACTCCATCAAATCTTGGCGACGCGTCTGTCTGTCATCTTCTTCGTCCAAAATTGCCGACGACGCAGTGGTTGTCTCTGTCCAAGACTCAGATCAGGTTGTCTAAATTTCTTTGTTAATTTTGAGTTTTTAAGTAATCAATTTTTTGTATGTTATAGTTTTATAAAATATTTACCCTAACCGTCCCCCTGAATTTCACTTTTCATGAATAAGGCTTACTGCACACTCTTACAATGATTAGTTATAATGAAAATATAGTTTATCATAATTAATGGTGGAGGTTGACTGCCGCCGTTTCTTAGGCGAGGCTGTGGTTGCTTTGATGCTGCTTCCCATTGATCATTTTAGTTGTTTGATGTCCATAGGCACTCTCTGCTTTATTTGTATAAGGTTGTTTTAAACGGTTTTATGGGACTGGCAATTCGTATTTCTCCACTTGTTGCATTGTGGTCTTTGCAATTATTTCGGGATGGTATTATCAATTAATTTTAATTTTGAAAATATCGTGTTTGAGCATTTAAATGTTGCAAATGAGAGGCTTTTAGAAATGCATTATGCTTATGTTGATTAATTTTGAGGAATTAGATGTAAATTTTGATTGTTTTGACATATTGAATTGTTTGAACTTTGTTATTAAAATTATTTTTTTAACTATTTTTGTAGATGATGCTTATCGTGAATACAATGCAAGAATATTGCTACAAGGATCGATTTTAATTGTTGAGGACAAATAGTTTTCTTATTCACCATCTTACAAACAGTTCTGGTTGGATTGTGGTGGCAGCAATAGTCGATATGCTTTCTAGAGTCCAACTACAAATAACTAATTCATCGAGATTTATCATATCCAATCTATTGACATCCGCAAGATTTGGCTTTCCAGTTCTCCAGCATTACCATCAGTTTAGCTCGGGTAATTTTCCCTACCATTGTAGCTCATTTGATGATGAAGCTCTCAAGGTTCAATCCCTTCTGAAGATACATTCCCACCGTCCCATTGAAGAAATCGAGGACTGCCTTAGAAAATGCTACTTTTCCTTGTCACAGGACGTGATTATGAATGTCCTTACGCGGAACCGTTCCAATTATAAGATCGCAAAGGTATTCTTCAACTTGGTTTGCAAAACTAAGAACTCAAATGGGGTAGACGTATTGGTCTATAACGAGATTCTGGATATTCTTGGTAGAATGAAGCGTTTCGAAGAAGTCTACCAAGTGCTCGATGAAATGGGGAGGAAAAATTTGGTAAACATGCGGACATATGCAATTTTGGTGGGTAGATTGTCTGCAGCACACAATGTCGAAGAAGCAATTGGTGTTTTCAACAGGATGAAAGATTATGGTCTTGAACGCAACTTGGCTGCATTTCAGACGATTCTATTGTCCCTTTGCAGGTACAAACATGTGGAGGAAGCAGAGCTATTGTTTCGAAACAACGTAAATGAGTTTCCCAACGATATCAAGACGTGGAACATCATCCTCAATGGATGGTGTTTATTGCGAAGTTTACGTGATGCCAAGAGATTATGGAAAGACATTGTGAGATCAAAAGTCAAACCCGACAAATTCAGCTATGGGATTTTCATCAATTCGTTGTGCAAGACGGGGAAAATAATGACTGCGATGAATTTGCTTAGCAAAATGTTGGAGGAAGGGTGCAGTCCCGATGTGGCAATTTGCAACACTGTAATAGATGGATTGTGTTTCAAGAAGAGGATTCCGGAAGCTTTGAAGATCGTTGGTGATATGAAGCGGCGGAATTGTCCACCGAATGTTGTGACTTACAATTCGCTCATCAAACAGTTCTGCAATAATCGGAGAGTGGATGAAGTTTACAAGTTGGTTAATGAGATGGAAGAGAATGGAGATAGTTGTTCTCCAAATGCTTTGACTTACGGTTTTTTGTTGAGAATGTCGAGCAAACCCAAAGAAGTTGATGACATTTTGAAGAGGATGAAAGGAAGGTGCGAAATGGAAGTGGATACTTACAATTTGGTTTTGAGATTGTTCGTGAAATGGGGAGATGAAGATCGAATGAAGTTTATATGGGATGAGATGGAAAGAAGTGGATTCGGACCGGATCAACAATCTTACACAATTGTTATTCATGGACTTTATGATAAAGGGATTGTAGGGGAAGCTTTGGAGTATTTCAATGAGATGATGTCAAAAGGGATGGTACCGGAACCTCGGACTAGGTTATTGGTGGATGATATGATAAAAGGATTGAAAACGCACTCCAGAACTTTACCTGAAAGAAGGCAAGAAAAAGTGTGTAGCATGTTCGATCATGTGCATAGTTCTCAACGTTAGTTTTTAAACCTTATTTCTCGCAGTATAGCCTCGAATTCTATTTGAAGCACAATGTCTTCTATGGGTGCTCCCAGAGACAAGTTGCTAAAGTTGAATATTGTCTATGTCAGGAGCTCATGAAGAAGAAATATGGTAAGCTTGCTGTGGTTATACATGTTAGTATTAATCTTTTTATGTGACTTGCTATTTATAACTTGCTGAATAATGAAGCAATTTTCTTATATATCAATAATTATGTTAATACTGCTCCCTTAACTATGTCTAGTTGCTAAAATTCATAAGAGATCATAATTCCAATCGAAAGTGCAAGCTTTTTTATGTTTCTATTTTACTCCTTCCATCCCACTCCAAAGTACTATTTTGGATTTTTATAGTAGATTAAGATATAATAGTATTTTATTGGTTAGTGAAAGTGTTAAAGATTGACCTTTTTTCCTTTTGTACTTTATATATAAATTATTTGTATGTATAATAGTTAGTTTGCAATTTCTGTAAAAATTTATGGTATTTTAGTATTAGTGTGTTGTAATTTAGTATTAATGTGATTACTTTTACTATCATAGGAAATAATTATTTTGAGTAGGACACGCAAAATTTGTAAAAGAAACACTTTTAGTTGGGACTCGGGGAGTATTTTATTTTATTTTGTGTGTGTCTCTCTTAGTTTTGAAGCCAAGTGCATGCATTGCTTGAGAAGGTATGTATAAGGAAAAGAATTTTGTTGTTGTTATTTGTTTTAGGCTTCGTCTGCTAAATATGTAGACTGAAATTGATTTGTGCTAAAGAATTAACTTTCTGGGAGACTCACCGTTCCCTGTTCTTGATGAAGGTTCTCCTCCTCCAATGCGTTCTAAATTGAACTCCAATCCTATTTCCTCAAATTGGGACTATTCTATTGCTTCCAAGCTGGATGAGGTTTTTTTGTCTAGTAATCCTCTTGCATTGAGCAGCTTGGAAGGCACAAAATTTCCCCACCATGCTACCTCTCGAATTCAGCTACCTCCCTTATCTCAAACCGTGAAAAGCCTCCTCAGGTGGTTTCAGACTCTGAATTAATTAAGGAGGTTAAAGCTAAGAAGACCAAGACAATTCGCAAGAAGATCCAAAAAATTAGTAAGGAAGATATTATTTCGCAAAAGAAAGAAACTCAGTCCATCTCGGAATTTCTTAAGGAATCTAGTCTTGCTGCAGTTGTCAATATCTTGGCTCTTTTTGAAGAAGAGGATACTAGTAACCTTTCTGCTGCAGTGTTACCCTCTGGCCCTCCCAGCCCCCTACCTCTGAACCTTGTAATCATAACATAATTCCAGATATAATTCCTTCCAACTCCAGCTCCCTCAATACTCCGGCCAAATCTCAATCTCTTAGCTCTGCGTCAACACCTTCAAATCAAAAGCCTCCATTCGCCAAGGCCAAATTCCCTCCTGTCTATCGGCATCGCACTCGTAGTGTGTCTAAACAAAAAATCAGAACTGATGCAGGGTCAGCCTGTAGTGTGTGTGTGTGTGTGTGTGCTTGGGGACCTGGGAGGTTTTGATTTTTTCTTTTGGCATGTGATTTTGTATTTTTGGCTGCTGGAGTGTTTTGTATGGAACTTGATTGATATTTGAATTCTGATTGAGCTTTACACTGTTTTTCTGGGAGTTTTTCTTTCGATCAAGCAGGCTGGTTGATTTGGCTGGCGCAGTGTTTGATCACCTCCTGCTAGTTGCAATGATGCAATTTCCCAAGGTTGATTGCTCTGTCGTGTTGATCTGTGGATTTGGTGGGGAGTGTGGCAGGTGGAGTGTTGCTGTTAATCGGATGGGTTCTGTCTCTGGGTTCTGATTGGTTGATGGTCCTCGGTAGTATGGCGTGTGCCTTTTTCATATCCCAGGTAAGGAGTTGGCAGAATTTTGTTGGTCTGGCTTTGAGAGGTGCCGAGAAAGATGGCATGGCATGGGAGTTGGATTTATTTATGGTTTGGGAATTTCAATCAAACAGTAGTGTCTTGATGGAAAAGCCTGGATTAATCTTTTCTCAGGTTAATGTTTCTGGAAGGCAGTTTGGTGAGGTGACTGATGTTTCTTGGAGGATCTGCCAAAGGCTTTGGATTTGGATTTGGTATTGGTAACTGGTTGTTGATGTGGATTTACATATACATTGGCAGTGTGTTTGGTTTTGATCACAAAGTCTTGGTCTTGGTCTTCGTCTTCTCAATGCCAAGGTTCATCAGGATTTTGGATATGGCCATATCGCTTCAAATGGAGGTATGCTTCATACGCTGCTGCCTGCCTGCCTGCATGTTCTTGAATTTGGTTTTGTTTTGTTTTGGTTGATTGTTTGTGTCGATGTTCCCTGGCATGTCGGTTTGGATTGAGGCCAGCTTTTTTACTTTTACTTTTAGGATGTGTTTTGTGTGTGTTTGTGTTTGATGGTTTATTTGGAATTTGAATAGTAAAAATTTTGAATTGAAATAATTGTAGTATAAATAGATGTTGATATTATGTTTTGAATGTAAAATTAATATTTACTATAATATAAAAAATAAAAAATATATATTTGATTAGATATTTTTTTGCCAAAAATCTTTTGATATAATAATAGATATTGGAGAAAATTTCATAAAAGAACACATCGGGAGGTTTTTTAAAACTATTTTACAAATAGCTTTTGAAATAGACAAATATATTTTTAAGTTAAAATTATTTATTTTTAATTAACAGATATTTTTATTTACTTTTAAAATTTTTAACTTTTTTATAAAATTAATTTGTGGTAAGATAATAAATAAATAATTTTTTTTTTATTTATAAGTAATCTGATTATTGTTTTTATATTTTTTCTTTCTGCTATGTCATGCTACATCATTTTAAGGACGTGATAAAAACTCACTTTGTTCTTTGCTCTAATGTAGAATTATTTTTTAATTTTTTTTTCTATTACATCAATAAATTTATTATTTTATTTAATATAAAATTTATATAAATATATTTAAAAATCTATATCTTTTATATATCATACTACTTTGAATTTGTTTCCTTTGATACAATTTTCTAATACATTTTTTTTAAAAAAATTAATATACTATATACACTACTATTTTTATATTATCTATATAATTTTCTATATTTTATATTAAAAAAAATTTTCAAAACAAACACACCTTTTGTATTTCATAAAAAAAAATATTAATAAATATTATATATTATATTTAAATTATTTTATATTCTTTTTAATAAATATAGAAATATTTTTTGAAATTAATTAATTAATAATTTAATAAATAATATTATTAAATTAGTATTATTTTTTTAATATACTACTAATTTTAAAAATAAAAAACTTAAACTATAATTATAATATTAAATATAATATATACAATTTTTTTTAAAAAAAGAAATTATATCTTCTTTCTCCTCCACATGTAGTAGGGTTATTTCGATCCTGCACGGGAATATGTGTTTCGGATGCTCAGATTATGCCACATGGCTCAATCTCAATAATTATTCTTTTAAATAATTTTTTTTTTATAATAAGAGTTTCATCGTCTTCCTTATGGTCTCCATTCTTCTTCTTGGCTCCTCCTGTACTTGTCTTTACGAGGGTCCAAATTTGTGAATCGAAAGCTGTTTTGGGTGAATAAAAAAGAACACAATAATTTGTGTTTATCTAACATAATTTGTTTGTGTTACAGGTTAGTTGAAACATAATTTAAGTGTTTATTTTTTACAAGTGTGTGAAAAACTCAAAATTGGTAATCGGCTAAACCCTACTCTTTTAAATTCCGTTGAGAAGATCACTGAATGTGACTTACTCTGTGTTGTTCTGTATTTTTATTTGTGATCTATTATACAAGTATCATAAACGTGTAACTACGTAGCCATATTGTATACTTTTATATTTCCTTCGGTACAGGGTTTTTATGCCTATAAATATGTGTATGCAATACTCAATTTGGATTGCCTTTTCATCACAATCAATTCACTTCCATCTCTCTCGCCTTTATATATATATATATATCCACATACATACATATATATACTATACATATATATATTATAATATACATGCAAGTTATTACATTCATATATATTATCATATAATATATTATATACAATATATAAAATAGTGGTTAGCTGTAGGAATAATTAATATTTCTATTGGCTAATCCTATAATAATATCACAACACGTTATCAGCACGATTATATATTTTACTTTCCGCAATGTAATATTTCATATTTTATCTGTTTATTATGACTAACCTTGCCAAACAGGAATTTCTCCCTCTCCTCGTTTCTGGCCAAAATTATATGGCATGGGCCCGCGATGTTAAAATGCACCTGGCATCAATGGGCTTGGAAAATGCCATTGCTCGGGATAAAAACTCCCCGTGCCAAGATCGTGCAAAGGCCATGATCTTTTTTTTGTGCCATCACATCGATGAGGCACTGAAAATGCAGTATGTCACGCTGGAATCCCCACTCGAATTGTGGGAAAGATTGAAAGAAAGATATGATCATTTGAGGCTGACATTGTTGCCAAGGGCACGAAGCGAATGGCAAAGCCTACGGCTTCAGGACTTTAAAACAGTCCAAGAATATAATTCTACCATTTTTAAAATAACATCACAGCTGCGCCACTGTGGCGAAAATGTATCTGATATGATGGAGAAAACTTTCTCCACTTTTCATGCCTCTAATATGGTTTTGCAGCAGCAGTACCATGAGAGAGGCTTCCAGAAATATTATGAGCTGATCACCTGTCTTTTGTTGGCCGAACAAAATAATGAATTGTTGTTGAAAAATCACAAATCTCGGCCGACAGGTGCAAATCCATTTCCAGAAGCAAATGCGATACAACCGGAAAATCCGGTGCGTGGTCGTGGGCAAGTCAGAAATCAGCGAATTGATCGCGATCAAAATCAGAATCGCGGACGGGGCCGGGCAAACGCATACAGTCACAATAATTATCAAAATAGGCCTCGATATGTGCCAAATCGGCGTTATAATGACAGAAGGCCGTACAGACCTCAACAGAGGATCAACACCGGGAGAAATAGAAATAATGACGAGGAATGCACCCGGTGTGGAATCAAAGGCCATTGGGCCCATGTTTGTCGCACGGCCAGTCACTTGGCTGAATTGTATCGGGCCTCAAAAGAAAGACAGGGAAGGATTGCACCCGAAACAAATCACGCTGCCCACAATGACACATTTGACGATGTGATGAATGAAAATATCACGCACCTGGATGCCGATGATCTGCTTGACATAGCTGACGATGTTAAATGATAAAATGATGTTGTATCTATTTTGTTATTTTGATGCTTTTTGGCCTCCCTTTTTGTATTACCCCCTATAATATAAGTCTATTTTGATTATGTTACTAATACATGTCTTTTATTATTTTTACCTTCTTGCAAAGATATGGATGCCAAATATTTTGGAGCCGATGACAACATCTGCCTTATCGACAGTGCTACGACTCACAGCATTCTGAAAAACAAAAGCTATTTCTCCCATCTTAATATGGGAAAGACCACAATTGTTACTATCAGTGGTGCATCGAAAATGATTGAAGGCTTAGGAAAAGCTATTGTATATCTCCCAAAAGGGACAAAAATGGCAATTGAAAATGCCTTGTTCTCGAGCAAAGCTCGAAGAAATTTACTGAGCTTCAGTGATATTCGGAAAAATGGGTATCACATTGAAACATTGAATGAGGCAGAAAATGAATATATTCTGATTACTCAGATTGTGAATGACAAAAGAATTGTGAAAGAAAAATTGCCATCATTTTCTTCCAGCTTATATTACTAAAAAATCAGTGCCATTGAAACATATCACCTAGTAGACCAAATGGCTACTAGCGAATTTAAAACTTGGCACGATCGACTTGGGCATCCTGGCAATGTAATGCTGAGGCGAATTGTTGAAAATTCAAATGGCCACTCATTGAAAAAGAAAAATATTTTGAGTCCGAATGAATTTGCTTGTGCTGCCTGTTCCCAAGGGAAGTTAATAATCAGGCCATCTCCAACAAAGGTTGGATTTGAATCCCCAGCTTTTTTGGAAAGAATTCAGGGTGATATTTGTGGACAAATAGATCTACCGTGTGGACCTTTCAAGTACTTTATGGTACTAATCGACGCGTCAACGCGATGGTCACACGTATGCCTGTTATCTACTCGCAATCTAGCTTTCGCTAGACTACTTGCACAAATAATTAAATTGCGAGCACAATTCCCAGATCATCCGATAAAGAAAATACGTCTAGATAATGCTGGAGAGTATTCATCACATACATTTGATGATTACTGCATGTCAATTGGGATTACTGTGGAACATCCTGTTCCCCATGTACATACGCAAAATGGCCTGGCTGAATCCCTTATCAAAAGATTGCAATTAATTGCTAGACCATTATTGATGAGGTCTAAACTTCCTGTATCATGTTGGGGACATGCTATATTGCATGCAACAGCCCTCGTGAAAATAAGGCCGACAAATTATCACTGTTATTCCCCTACTCAATTGGTTTATGGAAAAATACCAAATATATCTCACCTGCGAACATTTGGGTGTGCGGTTTATGTTCCAATTGCGCCACCTCAACGCACGAAAATGGGACCTCAAAGAAGGTTGGGTATATATGTCGGGTATGAATCACCCTCGATCGCAAAATATCTTGAACCAACAACGGGTGATTTATTTACTGCAAAGTTTGCAGACTGTCATTTTGATGAATCTCATTTCCCGACATTAGGGGGAGACAGTAATCAACTGAAAAACGAAATTTCGTGGAAAACACCGCTTGAATTTGATCCTTGTACGAAACATAGTGAATTTGAAGTTCAAAGAATTGTGCATTTACAGAAAATTGCAAATCAATTGCCTGATGCTTTTAATGATGCTGCTAGAGTTACGAAATCATATATTGCAGCAGCAAATGCACTGGCTAAAATAAATATCCCAGAAGGGAAAGTGCCGAGTGCTAATGAGCACACTGTCCGCATAAAACGTGGCAGACCGTTGGGTTCCAAGGACAAGAATCCACGAAAAAAGAAAATTGTAAATACTGGTGAAGAGATCAACAATGATCAGATACCTGTAAAGGTTAGTACAACCCCTGAAGAGGTTGATACTAAAAATTCTGATGAAAGTGATGATGAAGTTATTGAAACTTCTGTTAACTATACCACCAGTGGAAAATATTGTAACAGAAAGAAAACAAATATTGATAATGCATTTGCATATTCTGTAGCACTCGATATAATGAAAGGTGACGAGAATTATGAACCAAAATCAGTTGATGAATGTCGGCAAAGAGATGATTGGGCAAAATGGAAAGACGCAATTAAGTCTGAACTGGACTCATTGAAAAAACGGCAAGTATTCGGCTCTATAGTCCAAACACCGGAAAATGTGAAACCTGTTGGTTACAGATGGGTGTTTGTGAGAAAAAGAAATGAAAATAATGATATTACAAGATATAAAGCAAGGCTTGTAGCCCAGGGTTTTTCCCAAAGACCGGGTATTGATTTTGAAGAAACATATTCGCCGGTCATGGATGGAATAACATTCAGGTATCTGGTGAGCCTGGCAGTACGCAATAATCTTGATATGCG